AATATTTTTCGTTAAAATGAAATTAAAGATATACTTAAGCTGGCAAAAATTCTCCTTCAATGTGATGGCATTCCAATTATATTTTTCATTGTATTGTATATTGACCTTGTTTAAAAACTAATAGAAGCATCTACATATACGTTTCTGAATTTCCAGCGGACAAACTTTGTGGCCTAATGACTAAAACCTATAATATTTTTGTTCAAAGAACTAGCTAGTTGTTGATTACATAGTACAAACTACTAAATTAGTTATATAATTACATAATCTTATTACACATAGAAAATGTTATGTATAACAACATTCTTAATTTAAATTACTCTATTAATGATGTAGATGATGATGTGCCTTAGAAAGGGTTAACTTCATTAGAGGTCTTGGTGAGACGCTAGATTCAAAGCTGCACTTTAATATACATATTGATAATATTATCAATCATGCTTTTAGGTTGTTTGAATTTGTCATGCGTTCGACCAACATTAAGCGTCCTTCGACTTTCCTACTTTTATACAAAACCTTGGTTTGTTCTCAATTAGAATTTGGTGTTACAGTATGGAATCCCTTCTATGAAAAATACATTTCAAGATTAGAAATTGAACAAAAGAAGTTCTTACGCACCATGCACTTTAAATGTTTTCATACCAGGCTTTCTTATGTATGTATCTACAATTATTAAAAATATATGAGTTATTGAGTTTGGAGTCCAGGCGCATTCTTACTATGGCTATGCTGTTATATGGATTATGTAATAATATATTCGACTGTATCTCCATACCAGATTGCTTACATTGTCGACCCGTATGGCGTAGTGGGTAGTGTACCTGCCTCCTGTGCCAGAGGGTGTGAGATCCCAACTACTGGAAAAATATTGTGTAATGAACATAGTGTTTTCTAGTGTCTGGGTGTTTATATATGTATAATATGTATTTATTCACAAAAGAAAAGTATATTTGTTTATCAGTTATGTAGTACTCATAGTACAAGCGTTGCTTAGTTTGAGACTAGAGTACGTTGTGTAAAAATGTGCCATAAAAATAAATTATAAAAAAAATATTGTACCAAGAAGAGTTACCAGACGCGATGCACGCGTGCTCCGACTATATTCCACACTGAAAACTGTAGAACAAATGATGGGCAGCGAGCACCGCTTCGTAGAGTGCTAGATGTACATATGTCTAAATTTATGAGTTGTGATTTATTTTCACTTTCCCAAAATCAATTTAAAATAATGGTAACACTAAAACTTAAAAAAGTAATATGCAAATTAGGCTACGAACCGACTTACGCTTTTATTTTATTTCACTTAATATTTAATATTATTTTGCGGACATTGGTGTTGGTTATATACGTTTACTTTAATAATTAGAAATTCCATTTTATAATAATTGTTAATGTATAACTGTTTTATGTCCCAATAAATAAAAAAAAGATTGAGGTTCTATTCAAAGCATGAAAACAATGACAATTACCAAGAACCGTATGATTTAATTCAAACTGCTAAGTAAGAAGGGAGTAAGTTATTGAAAATATTATATACATGAATAAAAATAAATAAAACTTCTAATATAAAAATAATCTTAGCCCCTTGCTACATCAACTACCTGTCAGTGAATGTCCCGTCAAAATCGGTCCAGCCGTTTCAGAAATTAGACAGACAGACAAACAGACAAAATTCTGAAAAAAAAAATTATTTTGGTATATGTACCGTGTATTCATCCATATGCATTATGAAATACCGGTTATTTGAATATTAAAAACAGAGACTCCAATTTTATTTATCTTTATAGATGACTAGCGACCCTCCCCGGCTTCACACGGGTGCAATGTTTTCTTTCATAAGAACCTTCCCCTGATAATAACAAACACAACAAAAAAAAAGTGAAATCGGTCCAGCCGTTCACGCGTGATGGCGTGACCAAGGGAAATAGGAATTCATTTTTATATTTTACATAGATGTATAGATAATAATATGCTAAACGCTGATACCGATTACTGCCTATAAGGGTCGGAGAGTCGTTTTATTTGTGCAGTGTTTCGCATGTATATTAATGTCGGCAATGATTTAATGAACAAAAATTGCCGACTTGATTATTAATAAATAGAGCCCTTGTGTTCGTAATTTTATACGACGTCTTTTATCATTGTGTACTTTAATATTCCACGCAGTTTCTTTCATAAAAAACTAATACTTATTGGGCCTTCCGCTCCCATTCGTTTTTAAAAATATGGCAGCTCCATAGCAGGTAATAGGCATAAAAGGTATTTTTAAAAGCTATTGAATGACAAAATATAATTTATTAAATTTATCCACAGCTCAGGTTTTAGATTACGAAACGTTATTCTTAATAATATAACAACTTTTATTTAAGTGTTTATTGAAATTTTTCAGAAAATAAGTATTAATTGGAAAGACGGAGAGTGAGTTGTTATACGAGGGGCGTTCAAAAATTTCGTGGAATGACAAGTAAAGAAAATGAAATTAAGCCCAAATTTATTTGTCCTTTTCAATACTCTCCCTTAACTGTAATACAATTTTCCGATCTCTCAAATAAATACGTTTCAAAAAAATACGTTTTATCGAGGCCTTCAAATAAGCCGAAATCCCCATCTTCATCGTTGGTAAACTTTTTCAAAGAATAAATAATAATATTAATGGATCAAATCTGGGCTGTAGGCCTTAAGGATCAAGATTCCGAACTCGCACTTGTGTAGGGCAGCCATCGAAATGTGGCTGTTGTGAACTAGCGCGTCGTCGTGCAAAAGCAATACACCTCGAGTTATTTTCTAATTTATTTTTTTTTGTAGAAAAAAGGAACTAAAAGTTTCTCGCCGCTGTGGGAAATCGAACCCACGTCTCCGGGATTCGCGCCCTGACGCTCTAGCCACTAAGCTAAACGGCCGATTGCCACAGCGACGAAATTCTCAACGCCTTTTATCTACATTGTGTTTTTAGCATTTGAAGCAATGCTTGGCGCACCCAATTGTTATATCCTTTTCAGCATACAAACAATTTCGAATATCGTTTAACAATGATAATTTGAACGAGAGATGTCGCCCTTGCTTTAAGGAAATTTTAATTTTTTATAGTGGGGCTTTTTCTCTGCAATCGATTTAGATTGTGGCACTTTGAGCTACTTAGGCGGGGATGCGCCTTTTTATGCCAGTGCATTGACTACCGCTTTGACTCGACTCATATTGATGAACCCAGGTTCGGTCCCCAGTCACAATTGGGTTCATTAACACATTTATGTTTCCACTAAAGAGTTCCAAAAACTCTTGCGAGCATTCGACGCGCTGTTGCTTTCGAAGAGGAGTGAGTACGACACCTATCTTGCGCTGACTTCTGACATGGCACGATAATCATGGATAATGTTCTAAGTGGTACTAGATGATACTCCAACTGTTTCTGCTAATTGCTTTATTTCAATCGAGGATCTTCATGAAAAAAAATTCACTTCTTCGATAAAGAGGTAGTGACATCAATCAGCCTTGCTTGAATAGAACATGCAATTTGTGAATCATGATCTTAGGGCAGGAGTCCTTGCAAGCAGATGACAACTCTTCCATGACGACCTGCGGCGTTTTTCCCGCTTACTAAAGAACTATATTATGACTGCGTAAAATTATTTTATGTTTGATGATTGACTTGTTGATTTGGCGATAACTCGAACAAGAGTAACCAGGCTTAACCAGAACTTGGTATTTATAGTGAAATTAAGGCATTAAGTAGTCCTAGGTATAAGAGACATTTCCTTTCTCTTTCTAAACCTTTCATTCGGCAAACTTTTTGACCGCACCTTGTATTGGCTAAAGTGGTATCAAATTTTTTGTTTTATTTTACACTTATAATTATAAATGAATAATAATTTGAAATGTTCTAATTTCACATAAAATGTGACGAACAACGAAGTGCCCATGGTCATTCGCAATACCAGAGTAATTATAAATACGTTTTCGCTGTATAAGATATAGCTAATTGGAATGTCACATAGGTTACACGGGAGTAACTAACATAGCGATATTCGATTTATTTGTAATTGCGTGGAAATATCCTTTTAATAGAATCGATCAGTTCTAATGAACATGAACATGAAACCTTGGTCAGTTTTAATGAAGTAATATAAGTGCATTGTGTGATTTGTCTTATCTTAAGTACGCTTTGTAGCTGTTTGTTAGTTACAATAGCGTTGCACACGCTTTGGTTTCTAGTAGAAAGTATAACTTTATTTTTATGCACGTTTTTGTAATGAAAAATAAAGTATGTTTCTTGCATTTAAATGAGACAAACGTAATCAACTAGCCGGAATAAAAAGAATTATAAATAAGTTTACCTTACGAACTTAAGGCTAATCAAAAATTTAAATTATGACCACGTTGGTAGTTAATAAAAATCATATAAAATAAAATCTCCAGGCAAAAAATATAAATAATTATTAAAATTTTTGCCTTGAGATATTATTTTACGACTAAATTGTAGAATTAATAATAACTTATTCTATAAATTATTCCACAACTTGAAGTTGACATTTTTCAATATGTCGTACCTAACATTATCGTAGCCAACTTTTTAATAAAGCCATTCCAACTAAGTGCCGAAAAAAGCACAACACAGGTAATGAAAGACTTTCACATCAAGTTACATGAGTTGTTATTCTTTTTTTAAGAATCTGACCGCACATTGCATGCGATGTAACAAACAAAGTGTAACTCTTTTGCTATTAAGTTCCATTTATTTTATTATTTCATCATAAATTACAAATAATGGATAAATAATATTAATACGCTGTATTATTAAATTTGTAGAAAATAAACGCTGAAAACGCTGAAAATAATACTCTGTAAACTAATTTTATTGCAATTTTCTTATAGCTGTTTTGTCTTTTTGTGACATTTTGGTCCGATTTAACCGAGTTATATATCTATATATTATATATGTATAGTAATGTTAGTTTACAAAGGTCCAAATTCACATTACTGTATTAGTTTACTCGTATATCAAAATGACCTGTTAGTTTATTAACTCTTTGATCGAACTGTCCAGGGAAGTGAGTGAACGGGAAGGGATGAATGTCCTGTCATTTCACGGCGATGTGACATAATTTGAATGATATTAATTTTTATCTTGGTAATCTCTGAAATTGAGATGCTTTTTTTTAATTGATGAAAAATGGACGCTGAAGTTTTTCGCCCGCTACTGCGATTTATCCCGGAGAGCGCAAGTTCTAGTCCTCGCAGCGGAGGAAAAACTTTTCGATCTTCGAACTTTTTTACGGTGGCGGGGCCACGCAGCAGCCTCGGCTGTCGCACGAATGGGCAGGCCCGTCCGGGTAAGTACGACGACCTCACAGAAGACCACCGTAAAGTGGAAGTATGACAAATACTTCCGCGTTTCGCCTGGTGAGAAGTTTTAAGCAACGAATTGAAAGAATAAACTGACATTATGTTGAGTACATTAACGACTAATTTAAAGCTCTATTATTAATATAAAGTCAAACAAATTCCATGCTAACACATTTCAGTGTGTTTTATTCCGTCCCAGTAAAAAAAAGCGACCAACTGTGAGTTGGACTTGTACATCGAGGGTTCCGCACAAGCTTGTGTAGTAATTCGTCCATCACCGAAACGAATCTTAAAGTATTTTTCCACCTTTTCCAAGTCGCCCTCGCGCTCTCAGTTTCTTGTTACATCAAGCTACCTCATAGCAAAGCGTTTCATAATTACCTACTAAAAAGCTATTGCAATTTACATTAATTAATTACATTTTACATGAATGACAAATGCCGTAAATTATTTAACAAACATTACATTTGTTTAATTATTTCTGTATATAAATGTCAGTAGTTAGGGGTCGTCCATTAATTACGTGAGGTGTTCAAAGGGAGATGGGGGTCGAGTCGAATCTCATCTAATCATACCTTGGGTACAGGTGAGGGGAGGAGGTCTCGGCTAATATCACGCAAAAATCAGAGTAGATTTGTGTTTACAAAAATTTTGCCAAATCATATTCAACAAAACAACGAAATTTTTTGAAAGCCACAAAGTTGCATAGTAGCCCGTCGTTTTTTTACGCACCAAAAGCGAGGTTGAGGGAGATATGATTTTATTGAAAATCATAAGGACATGTTGGTTTCAATACTCACTCTTGAGACTGGTCATAAACCTACTGAATTATAATGAACTATTCTTTATTCTACCCAAAAGACAGTCAAAGTTATGTGCTGAGCCAAATGTTCTCACGATATTTAAATATTCCATAAAAATAAACCCCATTTTCTAAACACAAATTCTAGTCACGTAAGTGAAAGGCCTCGTATGTGGCATCAACCAAAAAGTCAGTGATTCCCAAACTTCATCTGTCATTGATTATAGGAAATAGGAAAGCCCCTTATAGGAAAAAAACTAAATCGTGCAATAATAGCCATCTTTTTTGTCTTATTATTTAGTTTTTACTCCTTCTTTTTAAATCTTTACACATACTTTTAGTAATCAAAATGTATTTGTTGTTTCAGGTCGGGGAAAGAAAAATAAAAAGCTGTTGCAGAGGTTGCTGCCCATGTTTATTATACCGTTCCTGATACAGTCGACAATAGTGCCCTTCTTCCTGAGCACGCTTAAATTCATGCTATTCAAGTCTCTCATGGTTGGAAAGCTGGCTCTGGCGCTCATTGTCATTAACGCTTTCAAGAACAGCAACTCCTTCAAAGGCCGCGACGCGGAAATGGCGAACGTGCATTATGGTTACCATGGCAACGGAATGGAGGAATACGGAGCCTACATTAATTAAACTTTTCTAATTGTATCCGATCGTGTCCAAAGTTATTTTAATATTTATTGTAATTTATATGTTGTTTATAGTTCTAAGTGTTTTAGCAAACGTAGATGATAAATATTATATCATAGATGATTTTAACTCTGGACAAAATTATTTTAAATACAAGCTATGTACATGGCAGTTTTATCCGTTCGTTTAAACTGTTGCAACCAATGATTTTTTATACACAATTATATACTGTACTTTATGGATTTGCAAGTTGAATTAGCAGAGGGCAGGCCACATCGCTCGAAGAACTGATGACCGATGGGGAGTAAGAGTTTTCGAGTAGCGTTGGAAGGTGAACCCTCTAGGTGGACCGACGACATTGTAAGTGTCGCGGGCAACCAGTGGATGCAAATGGCAAAGTGTCGTTCGTTGTGGCGTTCGTAAGGAGAGGTCTATGTTCAACAGTTGACGTCTTGTGGCGGATAATGATGATGATGATTTTGAACTACAGATAAATATGTTGTTACACCCATGGAGTGAATGCACGAAAACGTCCCAATGCAGACAGGAAATAGATTTAAAGCTAAAGTGACAAACACGCCCCCCTTTTTTCTCTTGTTGCTTTAATTACGCCTTTAATCTCTTTTATACCATTCGAACGAAACGTGTGAATGTTTGCTGTCACTAAATGTCACATGTTATTGTCACTAGTTGTTAATGTCACTAGTTGTCAGGAAATAGGAACACTTTCAAATGGTGTATGCGTATAACATATCTATAGTATAAAATATCATTGGTTACAACTCGTACGATTGACACAGAATGCTAAGTTGTAACGTACTCGAAAAAGATATAAACAATAGTGCGACTGCTAGAACATTGAGTGCTAAAGGCATGCGTCTGGTACGATAATTTCCGATAAGAATATACAACATCTGAAGTAATTTTTATATTTACACGTTTATGATAAAACACGCGAACAAATATTGAACATTTGCGTTGGGAAAAAGTAGACAAATATCAACAATTTTGACCTCCGAATCAGTAAATACATGTCTCATTAAAAGTAACCTAATTAGTTATCAATATTGTTTGCTATTATAAGCTTCAATTTTGCTTTTCATAAAATATTAGCTTGAAAAACTTTACAAATAATTATTATTTATGGCTAGGTTCGCAACTGTTATTTACTGTAACCGTAACTGTTTTGTTGATTTAAACTAATTCTTACGGGTTTTAAATTTAATGTTAATTGAGTATATTTTAAACAGTGTATGGAATTTAACATCTATAAATTCCCAAAAGCTTTGAAAGATGACATTTATCAGTTTTTTGTAACTATTGAAATAGATAATTAATTAAAAATAATCAATTAAATAGATAATTTTGAAATAGATATTGCTTTAAGTATTTTATGAAGTCAACTGCTTTAAGTATTTTTATGTCTTGTAAAATATGTTATGTATCGTAAGATATATTTAAATTTGATTTAGAATTAAAAACAACTAGAAAGACAGGTCTAGTACGAAGCCCTTTCACGGAAGTACCACGGGCTCTCAGAAGACCGGCGTGAAGTAACATCTTCTTATGCCCCTCTGCTAGGCAAATGCCTTTTCTGTACAGATGATATTAGGACATGGTGTTAAATATCAACACGGGATCCCATCGCGGTTTAGCGAGCTTCACATAGCTTCGAAATAGTTTTTTTTTTGTTATTATTTTGAAAATAAGCGGATTTCCTCTCGATGTTTTCCTTCACCGTTGAGCACATGATAAACTTGAAGGTAAAGTATATACTTTCGCTTTCTGGTAGGTGAAGTAATCACTTTTTTATAGGTTGGCAATGCCTTTGCAACCTGTCATCCTGCGTCCGATGAAGCTTTAATAGTCTCGGGACTGAAAGCAAAAACATCAGTTAATACAAGATAAAACCTGTCATCCTATAGTAGATGTCCAGGAGCGGCTGTAATCTCTCGGCACGGGGTCAACAGTCCACGCTTGCTAAGTTATTTATAGTTATATACAATGTTGTATCTATTTTTACTTTTACTGATTTGTATTGTCTGTTTATTAACAGTGTCCTTGTTGTTATTTATATGTTAATTATAATAAAATATTTATTAACATGTTATGTTCATTATTTTCTAAACTTGTGAAATAACCGTAAGACACACAGTAACACAGTATAAAATACCTACAGACGGGGTTTATTTTAAAATGTTTAACTTTGTTTTTGTTTACGGCCGAAGTTGTAATTTTTTTAATAATATATATTTATAATACATAATAGGTTAAAATGTCTATCTTGGATATACGGTTTTTATTTTATTTCAAGTTAATACTTATCATTGTAGATTACTTATCAAGCTTATGATACAAGCCTACCTATATTGACTAAAGATAAGAAAATTTTGTTTAAAATTTACATAATAATTTGTTCGCTTGTTATTCGCGTACTTATTGGTCATTCATTTGCCTATCGTAGGTTTTAATAAAATCAGGTTTAGCAACGCCGCTAACGCAAAACGTCAATTTCCATATGGACAAATAAATGTTGAAGACAAGGGCGGATCCAGGGGGGTCATGGGGGTCATGACCCCCACCTGGGCTGGGTCCAGGACCTAGTGTTTGGACCTAATGTTTTTATATATTTTTGGCACACATATAAAGATTTTATGTAAGTACCTTCAATATTTAAAAATCAACGCTATGTACGAGCAAAACAGAATTTTGCAAATCCGTCTATATATGACGAAGGTATGCCCGAACATACCCACATAAAAAATATAAACATCCGAATTGATAACCTCCTTCTTTTTGAAGTCGGTTAAAAATAAGTACCTACTTTTTATTTCTATCTATGATTATAAAAATTAAATTATAGCTTCTTATCACTTGACGACGACTACGTGACCCCCCTGGCACCAAAGCTGGATCCGCCCTTGGTTGAAGATATGACCCAAATCGAAAGCTTACTACAGAACAAATTGCGACGAGTTCCAAAGCCTGTTTCTTCCTATCGTAACAACATGTACCATAGCAAACTGACATTACAAACAGGTACTAAGAAAGCTAATCTTTATATATTACAAGCCATTAATTTAAGAAATCGTCGCTAGATGTCGCTATCAAATGGATTTTGGACAGTAAATAAAAAGATACAAAATTAGAAATTGCTAGTATTTTTTAAAAATAAATATTTTAGTATTTAAATATTTTGCCCACAAAATGTAAAATTATGAAAAAAGATGATAGCAGAGCGTGGTTTCGATCCACGGACCTCTGGGTTATGGGCCCAGCACGCTTCCACTGCGCCACTCTGCTCTACAAACGAGTGTTGAAAATATGGTACTTAAAAAAATATGTTTTACACTTAAAAAAGTATGTATAAAAAAATACACAAAGCCACCTATGAATTTATTCTACAAATGAAAAGCACTTTGAATATAGACTAGCTTTACCCGCAACTTCCTCTGCTTGATATTTAACAAATAACTTTTGTTCAGTTTACAGAATTCATGAAAAGTAAATTGTAATAAAGTTGTAAACACGTAATATTTTAGTAACTTATACACAATTGTATTGTAATTCATAAAAGAAAATTGACTCTTAATAAACTGATTTCATTGAATGATAACAGATACTATATAAATGTATGACTAATAGGAGGAAAAAATTTGCTACTATTTTATATTAGTGCTAAATTATTTTGGTGCCGCATGCATTGATATTGTATAATATAGATTCAAACTATTCCGTAGGTTTTAGGTTTTTAATTTAACGTTTATACATTTAGAATTAAAATCCACTACGAGGATTTTGTTGACAGCTGTTGAACTAGTTATTCAAGATTTTACTTACCTATGTGCCTACTGATCATCATTATTACTGCAGTAAAAAGGTGTTAATTAGCTTATGAAATTAAATTTTATTGAAATTGTTTGAACTAGCACCTGGAGTTCTTATTATTTGTTTTCGGATTTAGTACATACCTTTTATACAAATAACATTTCCACCGGGAAATTGTTTTAAATTTAAATCAAATCTTTTATAATCATAAAGTCCTAAATAGGTTAGTTAATTTACCAAAAAATGTCCTTAACATATAAACAGTTTGATTAACTACAAAGCTAAAGTATATTTCTACCATGAAATCGATGAGTAAATTTTCGAAATCAAGCGAACTTCTCCTTTTAATTCTGAGGATAAATCTATCTCAAATCTGTGACAAGATTAGATAGTACCTAAATATGGTTTGGCAATTTATTTCATATAAAAATCCCTAAGTACATTACCGTGGCCAAAACTAAGACGTTTTTGTTAACACGGTACCTGTGTTAACAAAATCGTCTGTAACTTGCAGGTTTTAAAATTTAACTTTTATAGACCGACTAGTTTTATAGGGGGTTTTTATAGCCGCCTGCGTCTTAGCTCGCTCGTTTCTTATCTTAATATAGCAGTTAGTGATGTTTCTGTTAATGCGATATACAAGGTATGCCCATCCCAGATTTCGTTCATAGCATTGCACGGAAACACACAGACACACACACTTTCGTATTTGTAATATCGGCGCTATGTGACGTTCAAGTTAGACGCCTGTTTAAATTTTACGTCATCGTCAGTCCGATTGTTGACATCGAATGTTGTGGATTTCTGTTAGCAAGCGAGCTGTAGTGAAGTTTATCTTCAAGGTGAGTCCAGCATTTTTTTTATGTAAAACAAATAAAATAATGTAGTAATATACGGTAATACCATCGTTAAGGATGAAAAACTTTAATACTTTGTAACAATCACATCAAATGTTTAATGTGAAAGTGAAATGATGTTTATCCGATGAAAACAAGATCATGTTGCCTCACGTGTATATTTTTTTGCGCTCAAATTTTGCAATTAATCATATCTCAGTCTAAAACGCTTCGACTATAAACCATAAAGTTGCAAATCTATGAAATATTTGTAAATAAATAAAAGCAAACATTAAAGCAGAGTGCGGAGTCAAAAAAAATGTTCCACAAATAAAAATCTACGTATATTAATTATATTGCCTTCTTCTTCCTCTCTTGAAAGGATTCTGTCAATGTGTTGTCAGTCATGGGAGTGAATTATGTTGTCTATACCCATTTAATGTGATTAAATAATGAAGCAAAAGTCGACGGTACTTTTGTTTTATGTTGTATTTCATGATCATTAATAAATAACCTTTGGAAGGCATACTCGTAAGAATAAATTTCAAAAAATTAAAACATTTAGACACAACTCTTTTATATAATCCTGACTATATAAACGCTTATAACACTACATAAAAAGTATAAAATATAATCAAAAAAGATTTAAAAATTACTGTGGTAGGGCCACGCAGCAGCCTCGGCTGTTCCACGAATGGTTAGGCTCGTCCGGGTATGTACCACGACCTCACAGAAGACCGGCGTGAAGTGGAAGTATAATTACAGATATCCCCCCACTTACAAATATAAATTAATATAAATAACACATACCAAACGAATACCAGGTTTTTAGTAAGTACGACCACAATAATTAAAAAGGAAATATTTTTAGAAAGTGTTGCTTTCTAACGCAGTTAATCATTTTTTTTAAAGGTGAAAGTTGCTCAAATGCTACAATCGCTAATGATAACTGTTGATAAATTAACGTTTTTATTCTGCACTCGGAAGGTTAAATACAATTTATTATTAGTTTGACTTGAATAGATTAAATTATATTTGTAACGTAAATTAATATAATATTTATATTGTTTTTTCTTGTAGCCGTGATAGCACGCTCGCTTTTAAATTAATATTCTCGAGCAACCTGAGCTAGATCCCCACTGCCGGCACCAGTGAAATTGTTAATTATGTGTTTACTTATCGCGTGCTTAACGGTGAATGAAAACATCGTCAGGAAACCTGCATATTTTCGACACGATAACAAAAGAAAAAATTTCGAAGATATGTGATGTCTGCCAATCCGCAGCGGGGCCGCGTGGTGGACTATGCCCTAATACCCTTTGTACAGAGGAGGCCTTTGCCGGCAGTGGTATATGTATAGGATTTTACTTTACAGCCTGAGTTCAAATCTTCATTTTAAGCACCTTATCGCGTGGTCAGCGGTGAAGTGACGTGAAAATACCGTGAGGAAATGTGAATATTTTTGAAATAATAATAAAAACAATAATATGGCGATATAGAGATAAGATGGTGAAGTCAGCCAATTAGCATCTACATCCGCGGATACGGATGCAAATGCGGATTTCTGAAGGCTCATATTAATATTTTAAAGATAGTATTTTGTGAAGTGTGTGTTACACTTCTGCGTTTCGGTGGCAACGCATCAGCAAATAAACGGATGCTGCAAATGTCCATGGGCGTCAGTTGTCACTTAACATAAGCACTAACAATACTTATCTCACATAAAAAAAGATTAATAACTCAACATTAGACATTGATGTTCACTTTCTCTTAAAGGACTTACTCGCTCAAAGGACTACGTAGACAAATATAGGGAAGTTAATAAAAAAGTCATCATCTGCTTCTTTTCGCACGTCTACGTTAAGCTCCTGTAAACATCTATAAACCGATTGAGCTATTTGATAAAGATATTCTTCAATAAGTGCAGATCTGTGGCTGTATTTTATAATCTCCCTGAAGACGTTATAAAAAAAATATTCCTAAACCCGACTTCTGTTACAATACATTTTGGATAGTTCATTTCTGTTGGTTCAAAATCAATACAGGATTGCGTTAGTTAAAGTTTGAGTGTATGGACAAAATAAGTAGAAACTTCTGGTGTGATAGAAGCGAAATTAGATCAAGTTGTTACCGTAATGGAAATGGAAGGTCTCGTTAGCAACCGAGTCACACTAATGGTTTGGAAACTGTTTTGCAACCGTTACTTTGACTTTTATAGAGTTGGGTCATCTAAAACGCTTTATTTACTATATAGAATTCAGAAAAATATAAAATAGTTACAATTCAGGACTAGACAACCAGACTACCTGTAAAATTACTTAAACCAATATTAAAGACGATGCACGGATACAATATGATTTGTATGTTTCAGATGAAAATTACTATCAAAGAATGGGCAGGCGGCGGTAACCTACTTCTAGTATTAGCTTTGACTACATGTTACTACTCTAGAACAACAGTGGCACTTGATGAAAGCAAATCGCTAAGAAAAGCCAGCAAAACACGCCAAGAAATGCAGTGGGGAATATCGCCAAGAATCGAAGTAAGTATTCAAAGTCAAAGTTAAAGTCATAGTTTATTTATTCGATGTAGGCTTTTTTTAAGCCTTTATTGAATGTCAATGACCTGTCTAGACGAATCGGCAAGAAACTTGACGTTTTAATTGTCTTTTTCTTTAATTCTCACCCCTAAATATGTAGTTACAAAGTGAAGCTGGCCTTGATTCAAAATAAATTAACTTTCACTTTATTTTCGTAACATAATAGTAAGCGAAATTGGTGTTCGGAGGTCGCAAATTTCAATTACAGCTATATAGTCCAGTGAGCTCATATTTTCTGAGCCTTAATGCATCATTGTCAGTTTTTATATTACGGCCGTCAATCAACAAGGAACTGTACGCATTGGAAATTTGTGATGTATTCGTCATTTCTAATTACTATGTTTATTAATTTATGTCGGAGCTCCAGCCCCGGTTCTTTAAATTTTTTTTGGGTGGGGCAAAAACTGAGAAGAGAAGCCCAGTTATTTATTTTTACCTTTGTCATCTATATAATTTCAACTGTCAGATGTTTACCAATTGATTGACATTTGGACAAAGTCTACATACTTAGGCTTCCGGAAATATTGCATCCAACGCTGTTTTTTCTGAACGGTAAAAAGAAAACAGGAACTTTTATAGTGTGAAATAGTAACGTGGCCCTTCAAACGCAAAAGTGGAAAATTTACGGTTTCAAATAGTAAAGTTGAGAAATTCTGTAAATCTGACAGTTTAAACTCTAAATCTTATCCTTTAAACGAGGAATCTCGGAAATATGGATGGAAATAGTATGTGCGTAGATTCGGGGGTGAAAAATCGATCTGGCTAGGTTTCATTTTTAGGAAATGTCCTTTTATCCCTGTTTTCAGGGAATGAAAAGTATAATTCGAATATGACGGTAAATTTCGCCGCAAGAGAAAATGTCATAATAGCTCGGTCGGTAATCGGGCGGCCCCGAAACAGACGTACGTGGTTCGCGTCACGATCATTTACACATTTATTTTTTAACTTTTTTTTTCGATTCCAGATCATTGCTTTCTTTTTCCCTTTTTTTTAAAGTTCTTTCTTTTTTTGAAAAACATCAGTTCATATTTTCTTATTATTACGTCGGTAAGATCGAAAAATATTATGCATATTTCATTACTCAGTAATTTGTGCCTAAATGTAATTTCCAAAATACACGATTTACCAAAAAAAAAACAAACCTCCTCCTCCTCCAGGTACTTTTACATTGTATGACGAAGATGTTACTTTTACAGAAATGTCAAATTTATTATTTCATAATGTAATTGACTTGACTTAATTGACTTGTTCAATATCAATAACGAAACAGTCTACTGACAGTTGGAACGAAATACAATCAAAAAATAGAGGTAGCACCTCCCTTTTTTACCAGATTTGAAGAGTTACCAGTTGTAAGAAAATAATACTTTCATATATGGAGATTGATCACAGAAACAACGGGAGAAAGTTTATTAAGCTATATACGTGAAGTATTAGAAGATGGCAGCCACATTACTGTAAATAAAATAAACCAAAAAACAGACAGGGCATATTCCTCCTTTAGAATTTGCGTGTTGTTGAAAAATTTTGAAAAACTATGTAACCCAGATATTTGGCCCAAAAATGCGGAGTTTAGTGGATGGATATTGTAGATCAAACAACAGAACCAAGACCCAAACAACGCAATAAAACATAATATTTTATATCAAAATGTAAAAGGTTTGATAACAAAAACTACTTGTCCCTTCTCGAATCATCAGGTTGTGATTTATTTGCAATTATGGAAACGGGATTGAATGAATCAATTTGAAATGAAATGAATCAACTCATTGCCTGGTTATTCCATTTCGCGCTGTGATTGCGCCGATGGGGAAAGCAGGGTTTTTAAAGTGACCGCACCGAAAAGATGCGCAAAATTGTGATGCCTACCGACATAGATATAGACATAAGTTTGAATTAACCTCAGAGCTGCAACGGACGTTTTTTATTTATTTGTTGTGTGGTCTACATTTAACCATTTTGTTGTATTGTTTAATTTATTGGACAAAATATGTACATTTATATAAATATGTATATTTTAAATATAACAATAATCTTGTAATTTTAGGGGATTTTTTTCAATTTATTTTCATGTAATTCTAATGGATTTATAAATATTTTGTAGCTTTTTGTGAACTAGCTTTTTGTGAACTTGTCTAGTTGGATCTGGTATTAAGTGGACGTGAAAATGTGACAGTGCACCTTGGAGCCGAGTCGTTACAGCCTGTTGACGTCTATCATCCACCCTTTTCCGTTTCCAAATCCCTCCATCCACCATCCCTCCTCAAAAGAAATTGACGATTCACGTAAGGAACTATTCAAGCGTTGGAATTTTAATAAAGACTTTGAGGAATTTTTTTACAACATGACAACCATAGATTGGAGCAACATATACAATTTAAGTGGTCTTAATTTAATTTTAAATACTTTTTAAAATAAAATCAATCAAGTTTTTGAGGCTAGTATGCCTCACAAATATGATCAAAGTAGTAGTAAGTATAAATATCCTCTATGGTATACAAAAGAAGTAATAAAGGACATTAAGTTAAAATATAATTAACACAAAAGATACAAACAGTAAATTAAGAAGCGATTACGAGGCCTTTTCGCGCTGTAGAGCAAAAATTAAAGCGGAAACATCACTTGAAACGCGTAGAAAATCATTTAGCAGCTGACCCTACGGCTTTTTGGACATATATTAGACCTAAAAAGATAAATATAATCAAGAAATAATTAAAATGGGCGGTCCCTATCAAATAAGTAATGAGCTGAGGAATTTGCAATATTATTTCATTCGGTGTATAAACCAAAGCAGCCTATACTGGATGTTTCGGCGGCCAATGAAGCGGGATAGGGAAGCGCGTGTGTGCATTACACCCTTACAACCAAATGATGTTCGACGTGCGCTTATACGACTGCTGCCCAAACGATCTGCAAGATTGGATTAATTTCAGACACGTGGCAGTCCTTTGCACGCCAGCCAAGATATTTGAATCGGCAATACAAAATTCTTCGTATAGGCAGATCGAGACTCAGTTAACGGATGCACAATATGGCTTTGGCCCCGGTGGTGGAGCAACGGGAAAATTGCTACATTTGATGACTTACTTATTACCAGCGATACATGCAAGAAAGCAAGTTGATGAGGCCTATTTTGATTTTCAAAAGGCATTCGATATCGTAGACAATAACGAATTGCTAAGGAAATTAGCTGCTACAGGATGTACATTACACACGCTGAACTCCTTTGCAAATTATTTAAGAGACAGACACCAGTATACAATATTTTGTGAGATCAGGTGTAAGTCAGGGTAGTAATTTGGGACCCCGCCAATTTATCATCATGATCAATGATCTAGCTAGTGGATGTGATATTGATTCGACATGCCTTTTATTTGCCGAGGATATAAAATTTTTTCGCAAAGTGGAAGGCACCATGGATCATATTAAATTACAACGTGATATTGATGCGGTATACAAGTGTAGTACAGAGAATAAGTTGCATTAGCATAAGCGTATATGTGTATAAGCAAATGGTCATTAATATCGTTCAGCCGTTCTAGTACCCAGCGTTGCCACAATTATTGCTTGGGAGGAGAGTCACTTAGACGTGTCTCCGAGATAAGAGACTTGAGTATTCGTTTTAGTTCAGACTTGAGCTTCCGTGAACATATTGTCGAAACCTGTAAAAAGTCGTACCGACATCTGGGTTTCTTCTTAAGACAATCGAGTAAATTCGACAACATAAAATATTTTTGTATTTTAAATTATATGGAGTGAATCCGGGTTATCCTGCATTATATACTACTTTATTTTTTCTGGGTATGCTAGGATATAGTACACTTGAAGTGAGGAGGGAAGTTTTTCTACCCACGTACCTTTTTATGGTATTGCGTGGCAAAATAAATCATCCGATTGTATTGCAGCAGATGAGGCTATGTGTACCAGATGGATATTTGAGGCGGAGGCGGCGGCCGTTGCTATTATCTGTACCTAGTTTACGGACTAATTTATTACGTTTTTCGCCACTGAATCGCGCGTTTTGTACTTTAATGCTAATGAATTAGATTTATTCCATTGCTCATTAAACGAGTTCAAATTGGCTAAGTTCCATGTTCTCAGTGTTTAGTTTTAGTTTTAGTTGTAAGTATACTTACGTGTTTGCTTAAACTGTATTCAAACTTCACTATCGCATTAGGTACAGCCTGTAATGATAGTTGTAAGTTGATGTATAAAATAAAATAAATAAATAAATATCTCCACTTTGGTGTTCGAAGCCCCACGTTACTATTTATTTATTTATTTTAAACTATAAACGTTCCTGTTTTCTCTTTTCCGTGTTTAAGAAGCCAACTTATTTACAGATATATATATGCATATAGACATAAACGTGAAGGACATATATTTTATACACAGCACATGATAGGATTTAAATTAAAAATATGTAGAGGAGGGGGTGGTAATTTGGAACCCTACTTTGTTTTTTGAGTATTTTAAGAAAACTATTTGACTAATCATCACAAAACTGTCTCTTTATATTCAAAAACTTATTAACTTTAATAGGAAAAACATTGCTTTCTTGTAAAAATGAAAAAAATGTGTTCAAAGCTCTCGTACTGGTATTATGGAACCCGGGTTCCAAATTACAAGTATGAAATAAATTTACATACAAAAATCATAAATATAATACTCCGCGTCATATCCTGAGCATTCAATATGTGTCCACAACCTACATGATTGGCACTGAATCCAAGTTTCACTCTGTGGATCGTTGGAGTAATTTTCAGAGCAAAAAATGCAACAAGCTTCATCTTTATTTTTGGGCTGGGAATGGGCGTGACATTTTCTGACATTACAGTGTCACCTGAAGAAACAGAAAATTCAGAATCCGAAGAGGTCGAATCCTCGCTGTTTAGAGGAGTTCTCGAAGACTTCGCAACAGTCTACCCACCTACGATCCACGCACACGAGCTCTTCCCCGAGCTCTTCCCCGAGCTCTTCCCCGACTTCTTCCTCGACTTCTTTCTCTATACGCTATAGACTTGATTGACTACTCAAGTTGCTGTTTGTAAGGAGACCCGGTCAATAAAGAAATGCGGGTAATTTTGGAACCCTGTTCCATATTACCTGCACCTATCGAGTTCCAAAATTAAAACCTTACTTTGTTACCAAATAATTAAGATAACAAAAACTAGTTCAAATAAATCTTAAAACTTACCTTTGACAATGTAAACTTAAACTTATGCGTATATACTTCGTGTTACTCCTACTGTTTTTACTTTTAGACAGAAGCAAACGTTTTGACAGTATTAAGAAATAAAAGTAAAAAACAAGTCCAAACTCTATGCAAAAATGGCGCCAGTGGTGCTAATACGTTTAATTACACCAGTTCATCGTAATTTCATAGGTTTTCAACAGATTCCGGTTCCAAATTATCAGCAGGTTCCAAATTACCCCCTCTTCCCTATACCTATAATAAAAATGAAAATTAAATATATTATTGCATTTGTGAATTAAAATTACAATTTTACTCAGCGAGCTTTTTGTTCAGCAAATAATTATGACTTAGTCATAATTTAACTCGTGTGCAATTCCATTTTCTATCGCTAAGATTGCAAGACGACGATAAGCGTTCCTGGCTCATAGAAGATAGCAAATAATTTTAATTAGTTTTAGCTTGCTAAACTTTGCTCACAGCTTGCGGATTTAAGAGAAAAGCATCCTGCAAGTCATGCGCATAGATCTGTTGTAAGAGACAGAAAGCGCCTCTCGAATAATAATGTTCGTGCAGCACGTCTCACTCCGCGTTCTGGGTATCGGTCGAGTCGATATGGTCATAAAATGTCTTTACTTGTAATATTTTATTAAAAGTAAAGACATTTCAAGATTTATAATTTCATGGGCAAGGCTATGTAAATTTTGAGTTGTTCATTCGTCTGAAAAATATGAATTTGGCCGCCCTCTGAACTTGGCGCTCTGAGCATAGCCCCCCGCTTTAGTTTATTGTATTAAGTTAATAACGAATACCACAAAAAAATTAGTTATTTATTATTGCACTTGCCTAAAGATCTCACCACACCATGGGTTGAATGGTATGAATGCCTAGTCCGCCTAATATGTTCCATATTCAAGAAAATGCAATAAAGACTAAATAAATAAAATACATAAATAAACATATCATCTGTAGAATAATTAACTATCTAATAACGATTAAGCAAAATGTGGAAATGAAAATTGTTCTATAAGTATTAAAATAATCTTCATTCAAAAAAGCAAACTTTAATTAACGGTTATAATATTTCTTAACAGGATGTTGGCTACAAACTTCCAAGAAACGTGAAACCTGTTAACTACAAACTAACGCTGGAGCCAAACCTTCGGAACAAAACCTTTGACGGAATTGTTCAAATTTCATTAAACATTTTAGAACCAACTGAGACCATTATAATACACTCCAAGGATTTGATCATACGTTCGGTCTCATTAAGACATGGCCGATATCTTAATAGTAGCGATAAATCTCTCACATTTCAACAACTACATGAAATGCTACATATTAATTTACCAAGTGCTATACAAAACGAGATAATTCTTAAAATTACATTCTCAGGAAGAATGGATAAGAAAATTGTTGGTTTTTACGCAAGTTCTCTTAAAACTGGCGGGTAAGTATATGCTCTATAGATTTTTTACTAAAAGTAAAAAAATAAAATCTTGCCATATATCGGCTTTTCTATTGGTGGCCGAACTTTTCTCATCGAAAAAAAAAAAATCTAGTACTTACTATTACATATTATTGCATGTGTATTGACGTTTCAGAAAAACCTCTACATTTTGTTATAAAGTTCTAAGTTTGTGGTGAAGTTCAATTACATTATATTTTATTGTTATTACGCGATTACACATTACTAAAAGAAATTATTTATACCCAAAATGGGGAACTAAACTTAAAAATGAACGCGATAAATCTATAAAAATAGTTTTTGATTAGAATAATTGCTACTATATATTGTAATATACAGTATAAAGAAAAATAAATTGCGTTCGTACATAAATAATGTACAAAACAGGGGAAATTTACGAAAATACTACTTTCACTTTCACACAATAAGCAATTGTTCTATAATCAACTTAATTGACTGGAAGAGTTTAAGTGACATATTGCATGTCTATGATTTTGTATATTACTTGCATCTCGCAAAAAGTGAAAGTAGGTAGATTTCATATAGGTAATGTAAGTGAAAGAGAATACTGAACTGACCACTGTCATTTTATGAACAATTGTTTTATTTTCCGGCATAACTCCATCATCTCCGTGGCAAGACTATTCAGAAGGAAGTCTCATTCGGGGAAATGCCACGGCCTAACAGAAGTACAGCGCCAAGTGGAATTTTACTTTCGCGTTTCATCTGGTGAGGTCTTAGTTCAAATTATTGAAAGCTCTTTAAATCAATGCTATATGACCTGAATTAACAACTAGTTCGTCACTGGATAACTCTTAATTTGAGAATGGGTGATAGAGAAATAAAGAACTTATACAGTGTTTGAAATATGCTCGAGGTGGACATAACAATTGAAATTGATCTGGATTTAAATCATATCTTATTCACTATGTACGTTGAGTTGTGTGGTGCACGAGTAAACCATATTCCATTAACTTCAGATTCCAAGGTTCGGATTTAATGGCTTTGCCCTAATTCCGGAGCGCATATATATGTCTGATTCTTTGACATATTTCAACATATGAGGTGCCTATAAAATGTATAGATAAGTAATGGTATGTCAATCCATAGGTGTCCATAAAACAGAAAACTGTCATGTGGCGATACTGTATACATTGTTATTATTGTAGCATTAATTATATTTATTAAAGAAAACTCAACTAAGGACAATAAGTAAACACAGGTATTAAAACTTGTTGAAAAAATGAAGAAATGTTTTTTGCCGCTGCGAGAATCGAACTCACGTCTTCTAGATTCGCGTCCAGATATCTAGACGCTAATAACAGAAGGATATACACTCTGTTTTTAGTGACTACAAAAAAAAAAAATATTGTGTAAAGTGATATAGTTTTTAATATTAGCCTCACATTTTACGATGTATTTCAACTCTATCAGCTTTATAACGTTCATTTTGTGCTTTTGATAAGTGTCATTGATTTTCTACTAACCGCCGATCCAAATGTTTGCTAAGATCCTCTGCTGAAATGCTATGTGTTTAAATGTATAGAAGGATATTTGTAAATACTTGTACAAATATTTTTAAAGCTTTTTAGGTGTGTCGGTTATTTCATCGCACATCAAAAAGCAAAGCACATCAAAGCGCAAAACGTAAATGTTTGTGAACGCTCCCATAGCTGCTGAAGCTAATAGAATGGAGGAGAACATTAAATATCATAATTAGAAAGTAGATCTCTTCCTCCTTAGCTCCTACATGCGCTTTTCTTGTCTTTCTTTTGTCTGGCACAGCTAGATTCAGTCCGATATCTAAATCAAGGGTGGCCACGTTTTTCCCCGCAATAGCCGAGATTCTCCAGCAGTTCGAAACGGCAATCGTTCGCTACCGATAGGTACAGTCCGATAGGAACAGTCTCCGACGACTATTTGGATGTGGGAGGAATTTAAGTCGCATGGGGTCTGCCAATACCATAGCGGAAAATACCAAAGAAATCTGAAATTTAAGGGCTATTGATGGAAACAAGAGCCCTGTGGATGAGGTTTTTCAGAAACCGTTGCGGCAAAAACGGCCCGTACGTTTTTGATATAAAAGTCTTCAGAGACATTAATTATCTACAGTACGTTTCCATATTAATTGTATAAAAACATTACCACTACCCTTACTAACTGCACACTAAGATATTTCAGTGTCCTAAAAGCGTTTTACAAACACGAATAACTACGACTGCAATAGTTTTCTGTAGGTCACACAAATACCTATCCTAGGTGTCAATTAAATATAAAAAATAATCATAAAGAGCTACAGCGCGAAATCTGTAGGAAGAAACTAAAGGAGTTAATTATTTGAGAGTTCAACGGGGCAATAGTACAGGAGATCTTAAAACGTGCAGTTACTGTAGTGAGAGATTGAACTGTACCACTAAAACATAAACCACGCCAATTAGATAATAAAGAGATAATGTAATTTTAGAAAGATCAGATCAGTGCCTCATAAACAATTTCATTCATCTAGTAAGTACTAACGAAAGGAATACAATTTTGTTATTTAATGACCGTGATAAAAAATATAGATATATAGATAGCTTAGTCACCGGACGCTTGCTTTTAAATTCAATGTACTCGAGCAACCTGCGCTCAATTCGTGGTGCCGGCACCAATGGAATTGTTAATTACATTTTTAAGTATTGAGTCATCACGTGCTCAGTGATTAAAGAAAATATCGTGAGGAAATTTGTATAATGTTAAGATTCAAAATTACTTAACTTGTTCATAAAATCTGTTTAAAAATCTGATATTGTTCCCGTACTACTCTAACTAATTGTATCTCACGCGCTTTAACGCTCGAAATCTGTTTAAAATCTGATATTGTTGTCGTACTGCTGTAACTAGTGAATATTTGTATCTCCGCGCTTTGTCTAAAAATCTGATATTGTGGCAAAAGCGTATGATATCGAAAATCGTGTTGGTATAGCGAGTGAGCGAGTATTCGGTACATCAGATTTCGGAAATATCAGATATTGTAAAATACATAGATTTTGAACTAGCCAGTAAGCAATTTTCAGATATTGTTTTAATATCTGATACGATTTGTATCGCCCACTTCTAGTTTGTTCTATCTATGTCATTTCATTAAATTGTCAAAAATCATAATCATTGACTCATTGTTAATGTTACTGTCAAATCGATATTGGGTAAAAATTTCCAAAAGTTTCCGGGTGTTTTCGACCAAACAAAAAGTTTATTCGGTTAAGAAAAATCTAAACGTTTTACAACGTATCTGAAAAAATAAGCTCAGATTCAGTTTACAATGTTGAGTTGTGTTGAACCTCTGAGTTTAAAATTGTGTTGTGTGAAGTGTGTAGTATAAATTAATTATATATATATTTAATTTAAGGGTAATCAAACATTTATGTTGACGACTGCTTCAAAACTGAAACGTGCCTTATTTCATAGTTTGTTCAGGCATCTCTATAGGAAGACTGAAGTAATGGAAAATTCACCTTGTGTATTTCCAACTGAAAGATTGCGTACATCAATATTACCTTCTCATTACAAGCTTCTTCTACGTCCAGACTTAAACTCTGGACTCTTTGAAGGGACAGTAAAAATCGACATTATTGTTAAGAAAGATAACAATCACTTATGTGTACATACAAAATTTTTGAACATTGAGTCTGTTAAAGTCTATAAAGATGGCCAGCAACAATCAATAGATAAATATGTAGAATTTAAGACCGTCGAGCAACTTGTAATATTTCCTAATAGACCTTTAATTCCTGGCATTTATAATGTTCATATAAGTTATTCTGGTGATCTAACTCGTAATATTGTTGGCTTTTATTTGTCACACTTGAAAGATAAAAGGTAATTATTTTTAATGTTACATAGCTATTTTACCAACTTAGGAAATGGTCATTATATTAATACTATGTATCAATAACTTATTTGATTTACATGAAGAGTATTATGAGGCAAAGCATATTATGTGACTGCAAACACAAATCATATTTATAATTAATACAAATGCCAATTTTCCTATGTATAAGGATTTGCATTATTTTTATGTTTCAGAACAATGGTAGCTAGTAAATTTCAACCAACCTATGCTCGGCAAGCTTTTCCATGCTTTGATGAGCCTGATTTCAAAGCAACATATGACATTACATTGATAAAGCCTGTAGCTTATGTAGCCTTGTCAAATATGAATGTAAGTTAATTAATTTAAGATTTAATCTTTACATGAAATACTTAAAGTTAATTAGTGTATTTGTCATATTTTCTAGCAAATTTCTGAAGAAATTAGTGAAGATGGTAAAACAGCAGCCGTTTCATTTGCTACCAGTGTTCCAATGTCAACATATCTGGCATGTTTTGTCATATGCGATTTTGATTTTAAACAGACTGTAATAAATGCAAATGGTATAGGTAACAATTTTGAGTTGCGTAGTTTTGCTCAAAAGGATCAAATGCATAAAATAGATTTTGCACAAGACATTGGCAAAAGAGCAACTGAATTTTATATTAAATATTATGAGGTTCCGTTTCCACTCCCAAAATTAGGTAAGTGTGGTTAAATTGTAAGAAGAAAAATATTCCTTTTTCAAGAAAAAAAAATTAACAGTATTAATGAAAATTGTATTTTTATATGTATCTAGAATACCCTGCATTGGGCTATTTTGAGGTAAAAATTAAGAAAAAATATCAATTTAGGATCCTATGCCCCTATTTAACATTGAACATTTACTAACATTTAGACAATTCCACAACACTTAAAATAAGTAAAAACATTTTCTATAAGAACAGGTTTTTACTTGCACAATTTCATTTCCAGATATGATTGCAATTCCGGATTATGTGTCAGGAGCAACTGAGCATTGGGGCCTAATAACCTACAGAGAGACATCATTCCTAGTGGATGAAGCCACAGCTTCTTCAAAGAATAAAATAAGTGTTGCTAACACAATTGCTCATGAATTAGCACACATGTGGTTTGGAAATCTAGGTAAGTATTCCTTATTTTAGGGCCCTATGCATTATTTATTTTTACGATTTGCAGGGTATCTCGAAATAATTTTTACATAACTACATCTCCCATCTTTGGTTGTTAGGCATTTGCTTATTATTCAAAGGTAGGAATGTTATGTGCAGCATGAGGATGTGGGCTCGTTTCCTTTGGTGTATTCAGACCTGTGCCCTGTTTTAGTTGTTTTCATTTTAAACAACCTGACCATGGTCACACATTGCTGTGGCTGTTTGCTGATATATTAAAACACATGTGGAGGACAATTATTTATTTATACAGTACAAAATTTTAAAGTTATGAAAAGTTAGGAATGAAAAAACATACGAAATTTTTATTTCAATATTTTTATTGCTAGGGGCACGCCACATCTTACATTTATGATTTAATGTGGTCTTAATAGTGACAGGCTATAAAATGTTGTTTCTTTTATTTCAGTTACCATGAAATGGTGGGATGAAGTATGGCTCAATGAGGGTTTTGCATCCTATATGCAGGTTAAAGCTCTAAATGCTATTGAACCATCCTGGACAATGGTAAATATGTTGAAAATTTTTGTTTTCAGCTCCAGTGAGTGGTTGAGTATGGTGTTTAATTAATTCGTGCATTATACTCTTCCAGTTGGACCAATTCTTGACGAAAACTTTACACTCAGTGTTGGTGACGGACGCCAAACTCTCGAGCCATCCAATTGTGCAGACTGTGGCCACACCTGACCAGATTACCGCTATTTTTGATGCAATTTCTTATAATAAGGCAAGTAATAAAAACATCATTATTTTTGGTTGCAAAAATGTTTTCAAATTTAAACTGTTATAGCTCAAGACATACTGACTGAATCAGAATCCTTTTTAAAGCTTTTTATTTACAATTTTTCAATGAATTGAAATTAATCTTAACTAAATCCAATCTTAAGTTTCTATTATAAATTGCAAATATTAATTTGATTTGAAAACATAAAATATTTTTTTATCTACAACACAATTCCAAAGAACATAAACATGAAAATAAATACACCAATGTCAACATAATATCATGATAGTTTAAATAACTTTAAATACTCTGATGTTTTAATTTTAGGGTGCTTCTATTCTTCGTATGTTGGAAGGATTTATCGGCGAAGAAAACTTCCGAAAAGGCGTCTCGGATTATTTGAAAAAGTATAAATTTGGCAATACCATCACTCAAGATCTGCTATCATGTTTGGAGCCTTACTTCAAAAACGCTTACCCAGAATTGGATCTTTCGTAAGTAATTATAATATTATACTAATAAAATTATTGATGTGGTGACCAAATTAGTTATTTAGTTAGTCCTTACTTACGTTACTACTCATACTTTATTCAGATAGCTAGTTAGGAACAAACATAAATTAATTCTACCCACAGCTATACTTTTGGAGATTGCTTGCGTTATCATAGTTTTGGTTTCTTAGATTTTTTATTATTACTAAAAATAGATTATATATCTCAATTATGACGAAACCCGGCAAAGTTCAAAAAATAATAATAAAAATATACTGAATTAAATAAAAAATCTCTACTGTCGTAGGTTAATCTTTTGAAAATTTCTCCTCTGTACTTGGTCTATTTCTACTCTAAAGTAATTATTTATTTTTTTCAGTTACATAATGGACACGTGGACCAAGCAAATGGGCTATCCCATTCTGAACGTAGTGCGGAGTGAGGAGCCCAACACTTACATAATCACCCAATCTCGATTCCTTCTTGATCCCGATGCGGTCCAGAAGAATGACTCGCAGTTTAAGTACGTGTGACCTTTTCCTTCGACACACGTGGTATCGTTACATAATATGTTCATTTGTTAGTTATGCGTAATTATAAACCAACGGAATTCTAAATCTTTTCAGTCTTTCTTAAGTAGACTAAGGTCGAATGTTAAAGATTTAATGATGTTTAATTTGTAAAATTTAATTTAATTAGATTTTTCTTATCCTTGCGAAGCTCTGCGAATATGTGGGTCATTGATAAAACTTCTATTAGTCCAAAACTAAGCAAAACTTCGGTAGCTGATAAATATGCTTAAGCAGACTTTTCTTTTGAAAAACAAATGCAGGTCATAGACATATGAACCCCAGGTAGTAGAAAAACACTATGTTCATAACATAACATTTTTCCTCTAGTGGGGGTCGAACCCACAACCTTTGGCACAAGAGACTGGTTCACTATCCAAAAATTATATATGTATAAAAATTATATATGTAAATTGTGTATAAAATAAAGTCGTCCCGTCGTCTGTCTGTCCCTATGTATGCTTAGGTCTTTAAAACTAGGCCACGGATCTTAATGCGGTTTTTTTAATAGATAGAGTGATCCAAGAGGAAGGTTTGTATGTATAATATATTGCACCCGTGCGAATCCGGGGCGGGTCGCTAGTGTTAAATAACTTTCTCTTAACTTCAAATTTGTCCGTGACGAAAGTTCAAATTAATAGACATAAGTCTAACAAATACTTGTGTTCAATGTCATCTATTTTCATAAAATTAAGAAAAAGAAAACTGCTATTGTTTTTTTTTTTTTTCAGCTACCGGTGGTTCGTGCCAATAACGTACAAGACCAATAGGAAGAAACATCAGAATGTATTATGGTTTTCGGATACCGCCGATAGTGGTAACTACGTTTTATATTTACCATTAATAATTTCAATTAGCCATTTTCTAGACTCCAAAACATCGACCACATCTCAGAGACAAAAGAAAAGTGAATAAAGTCCCATATAAACTGATCTTAGATGAACTCATCCTCATCATAATCCATCATGATTATGATGAGGATGAGTTCCTGATGGCTTTTCTGTTGTAAATTTCGGAACTTCTAATTTTGAACGATAATAATCATTTTTCCCGCTTCCAGTGAAACTAAAAGTCGAGGAAGGTGAGGACTTATTGAAGATAAACAACAATCAGATTGGCTACTACAGAGTCAACTATCCGATCGATATATGGCAGGGGCTGATACAGAACCTAAAGACTAAATCTGAGCAGGTGATCTTTATATTTATTTGTTTATATATATATTTTAAACGTTGTCTCGACGATGTTTGATATATGCAAGTCTACGTTCACAAAACTTCGAAATATTGTTTCAACAAAAAATCGTAACAACGTTCGTTATTACTCTAAATTTAGTGGGAGCGAGACAGAAAATAATTTAAGACACGGCGTGAATGGGAGGGCAATTCACAAGAGGGAAACTCCCCGCAGACCGGTTATATTCTAAGTTGACAGTAACGAATTAGTGACGTTACATGTTTGAGTAATGAAATATGCATAATATTTTTCGATCTCACCGACGTAATAATAAGAAAATATGAACTGGTATTTTTCGCAAAAGAAAGAACTTAAAAAAAGGAAAAAATAACAAAATCGTCTGGATCGACAAAAAATAAAAAATAAAGAAAGCAATGATCTGGAATCGAAATAAAAAAAAGTAAAGAAATAAGCGTGTAAATAATCGTGATACGAACCGCGGCCGTCTGTTTTGGGGTCGTCCGATTACCGACCGAGCTATTATAACATTTTTTTTTGCGGCGAAATCTACCGTCATATTTGAATGATATTTTTCATTGCCTGAAAACAGGGATAAAAGGACATTTTCTAAAAGACCTAGCTAGATCGATTTTTCGCTCCCGAATCTACGCACATACTATCTACGAAAACACCGTGAGGAAACCTGCATATTTTCGAAATAATAGCAAAAAAAAGTATTTCGAAGATATGTGAAGTCCGCCAATCCGCAGTGGGGCCGGGCTGTGGACTATGCCCTGATACCCTCTGTACAGAGGAGGCCTTTGCCCAGCAGTGGGACAGGTATATACTTTTACACCAATTGTTGTAATTTGAGTGTCTCAATTTCGGCGTCATAATTATCGGTCAATGTCATAATATCTTCTCATATAATATTATTGGTTATACACGATATAAGGTTGACTGGTGGAAAATGATAACACCAAGTCCGCCTTTCTACTAGTCTATACCTAAAGTTGTAGCATAAATAATTTATCAGAAACTCGGAGTATTTAACAAGGTCGGAATAACTTAATGTTTTAACCGACTTCAAAAGAGGATGAGGCTCTCAATTCGACTGTATTTTTTGTTACCTCATTACTTTCGACAGGATGAACAGATTTTGATGAAAATTTTTGTTACCTCTCATTACTTTCGACAGGATGAACAGATTTTGATGAAAATTTTTGTTACCTCTCATTACTTTCGACAGGATGAACAGATTTTGATGAAAATTTTTGTTACCTCATTACTTTCGACAGGATGAACAGATTTTGATGAAAATTTTTGTTACCTCATTACTTTCGACAGGATGAACAGATTTTGATGAAAATTTTTGTTACCTCATTACTTTCGACAGGATGAACAGATTTTGATGAAAATTTTTGTTACCTCATTACTTTCGACAGGATGAACCGATTTTGATGAAAATTTTTGTTACCTCATTACTTTCGACAGGATGAACAGATTTTGATGAAAATTTTTGTTACCTCATTTTTCGACAGGATGAACAGATTTTGATGAAAATTTTTGTTACCTCATTGCTTTCGACAGGATGAACAGATTTTGATGAAAATTTTTGTTACCGTACTTTCGACAGGATGAACAGATTTGATGAAAATTTTTGTTACCTCATTACTTTCGACAGGATGAACAGATTTTGATGAAAATTTTTGTTACCTCATTACTTTCGACAGGATGAACAGATTTTGATGAAAATTTTTGTTACCTCATTACTTTCGACAGGATGAACCGATTTTGATGAAAATTTTTGTTACCTCATTACTTTCGACAGGATGAACAGATTTTGATGAAAATTTTTGTTACCTCATTACTTTCGACAGGATGAACCGATTTTGATGAAAATTTTTGTTACCTCATTACTTTCGACAGGATGAACAGATTTTGATGAAAATTTTTGTTACCTCATTACTTTCGACAGGATGAAGCGATTTTGATGAAAATTTTTGTTACCTCATTACTTTCGACAGGATGAACAGATTTTGATGAAAATTTTTGTTACCTCATTACTTTCGACAGGATGAACAGATTTTGATGAAAATTTTTGTTACCTCATTACTTTCGACAGGATGAACAGATTTTGATGAAAATTTTTGTTACCTCATTACTTTCGACAGGATGAAGCGATTTTGATGAAATTTTAATTTCTTTGAAAGCTGGTGCTGGCCATGTGGTCCCATATTAATTTAATCGGTATTGGATCTTGGACTAGGAAGATACTCAGGGAACCCCTGAAAATCAACCAATACAGAGCGAGATTTTGGAAGTCGGTTCTGTTTGTCATTAATAAAAATGCACTTGTTGATATTCCAGTTACAATATCCGACAGAGCGCACTTACTTAATGACGTGTTCGCACTAGCCGAGGCGCGTGCAGTGCCTTACGAGTTGGCTTTGAACCTAACCACGTACTTAAACGTTGAGACGGACTATGTGCCATGGGATACAGCGGCCTCGATATTCAACAAGTTGTCCGATCGCCTGCTGAGTTCCGACTCCCATAATGCCTTACGGGTAATGTAATACAATCCATTTAATTACATACAAATCATTATAGATAATTTTTACCCGATGTGGGTGTTTATTCCCATGGAGGATTGACTTCGATAGTAAAGAAACCACTATTTAAAATGTTTTGCCCTACCTACGTATTATATAGGCTGGTAGATGATGTAGTCTTGATGTAGTAATTTCTTTTTAAAAATTAACGTAATTTTTCTTTTTTGTATAACTAAAATTTAATAGTTTAATAAGTATTTTCGCTTACTTCTTAAGTACAGTTTGAAGTCAATGTAATTCCTGTTGATTAATAGCATATAGTTGGCGCAATTTGTGGGGGCGCTAATGTTCAGCAGTGGACGGCGATAAGCTGATATTGTATTGTTGTATTGTAATATTATGTAATATTATAAAAATTATGTTTATACGATGAAAAATCAAACAAAGCATATGAGCACTTGTAAAGTGGGTCTTGAGAAAAATTTATACTGTATCAGTTGTTTCACGAATGTCACAGTTTCACAAAGGTAAAAGCGTAAAGTAGATACTTTACGCTTTTGCGTTTCGTCTTATTTGTGAGGTAATCGTGGCGCACACTTGATGGTTCGTCAACCTCGTACATCTGCAAACATCATGACCCACGTGCTCGGTTGCCTCCTATTCCCATTAAAAAAAAATCAGGTGAACCGGATACTGGCTGACCACCAACTCACCATTTTTTTTTTCAGAACTACGTCCAAAAACTAGTGGAGCCCCTGTACAGCCAGCAAACATGGACGAAAACTAATTTAAGCGTTATTGAAGGGTAATTTGATTTGAATTTATTATGTTGCATTTCCTTTACGGAATTTCGATGTTCTTTTCTATACTTTAACATACTGACCGTTCTCTGGCGATTAAATAAGAGATCTATGTAGTTTGTACGGGTTTGTCCATAAATATATAACTATATAAATAAATTTAAGCCTGAGGAAATTAAAAATATTTCGACACTTTTGCCAATGTCATAAAATTAATTTTTCACCTATTCCATTTATTATCATAATTATCAATCAACGATCTTTAACAATATTTTTGAAGTGGAAATAAATAAAGTCAAGGGCTTTATGGAAGTGTTTTAATTAAAAAAAAAAAAAAAATATTTCCGAATTATGCATTCGCTTCACTGTTCCTAACACAGTCCCATATCATAACAGAGTCTCACATCATAGCATTGCAACCCCGCAGGCTTTTACGTACGAGGGTATTGTCGTTGGCAACCGGTTTCGAGTTGCCAGACGCCGTGGCGAAGGTGCGTGGTCTGTTCCTCAGTTGGCTGAACGGCCACGGAACATCAGAGGTGGTCATCGAGCCGGACTTACGGGACATCGTCTACTATCACGGTCAGCAGAATCTGACGTTTCTTTACGGTCCCCTCTTATCGCACACAAGTGTCATTAGAATCTGACCTAGCCTTCCTCTCCTTTCCTCTCTTTTGCTTTCTCTTTTTACCCGTAATACTTGCAATATGCAATAATTACCGATAGATAATTGCTTAATAATAATGCAACATCATTCAGGAATGAAGCCCGCCACGCAAGCGGAGTGGGACAAGCTGTGGGAGATATATTTAAAAGAAGAGGATGCGCAGGAACAAACAAAGTTACGGCACGCTTTGGCAGCACCTAGGAATACCGATATCCTCAGAAGGTAAGTTTGAGACTGACAAACCCAAAATTTTTATAAGCTTCTAGTCTCCAGTTCAAAACTGTTCAAGAATAACTTACTGAAATGTCGTTGTGGCAATCAGCCGTTTAGCTTAGTGCTTAAAGCGTCTGGGTGCGAATCCCGAAGACGTGGGTTCGATACCAAATTTTACTGACATTCTGTTGCTGTTTATATTTGTACCGAAGTCTTAATAATAGTAACTCATATTTATTTTTTCTCTGATGGATAAATTAAAGTGATTACAATCTTTATTGATCAATAATAGTTGACTGAAAGAAATAGGGATAAACGTGAGCGATTTTTTTTAATTACCTTAAAATGTAACGACATAGTTGTTTAAAAAGGTAATAAGTACTTTTTACATTTCGATGTATTAATTCTATTTTATTGAAAACGTTTTCTTAGTACTAGTTCTGTGAATTATAAATTCGAACATAACCATTATTAACGATTATTTGTATACGTTAATTAATTGTATATGTGAGATCATACAATTATATAAAAATACTAAGATATGAAAGAGTTCAGAACTATACTAATTCCTAAAAAAATAAAATTAACTTATTGTCATAAATTGAGATTTTATGTTACTTAAGTTTGTCATAATATGAATTTTATTAGCATCTCTTATCCACTGACTTCCGTCCACCTCCACCAAGTATGTTGTCTCCAGAAGGAATTCCTTAATTATAAACCATTTGCCCATCCTCGTCGCTAATTGTTGTACTTTGCAATAAAAGATGAAATAATTAATTGAATTTCAACAAAAAAATAAAATCATTTATTTTTTTGTTGAAATAGATAATAGATTTACACCTTGATCGCAGAGACGGCAAGAGATTGTTGCCAGTCAAAAAACTTAAATTACATAAAATCTCACGTTATAACACTTATAAACTTGAAACATACTCAGGGGTATACGGCATTAACGCGCCCGATTTCTGAAACACTGATCATCGCAGAAGTCAACTAATCAGCTGTCAAATGGATTTTCAAATTTTATTTGAGACTATATACTATGAGAATTTATCAGAATGACCTTAGTTATCAAAAATTAAAACAGTTTAACAATCCTTTTGGCAACACAAAAACATTTGAAAAGCCATTTGACAGCTGATTAGTTGACTTCTACGTTGATCAGAAATGGAGCGCGAGTGTTCAGTTTTACGCAACCCCCTCAGGTACCTCGAGCTGGCCTGGGACGAGAGCAACGTCCGCGGCCAGGACTACCTCAACGTGGTCAGCTTCATCAGCGCCAACCCGTCTGGTGAATCTTTGGTGTGGGCGGACGTCCGCCGCCGATGGCCCCTGCTGGTGGAGCGGTTCACGCTGAACAGCCGCTACCTTGGCGGGCTGGTGCCCTCCATCACCAGCGCCTTCGACGCCCCCCTCCAGCTCGCGGAGGTGAGACGAGCGAAACGCTCCCAATTTCAGACAGATTTCAGACCCCCCAGTGCTGCAGTTTTTTGTGTGAGAATGTGACCTGATGTTTAGTGATAACCGTCGCCCATTGACATTTGCAACGCCCGTAACGTTGTCCATGCGTTGTTACTTTTTATAGTATAAAGTGGGCCCCGGCGCACTCAGGGCAAAAAAGTTGCTTAATCCTGGTAGGGCGACGCAACAGTCTTATTGCCAGTTTGAAATGGTCGTTATCTGGGTTCACTGCTTGTTCAGATTTACGTTCGAAAACAAAACACACGAAAATAACACCAGAACCACAAGTGTTAATATTAAATAACGTTTAGATATTAAATATGTTTATGTTTTTAAATATATATTCAGCACTCTTAGAAATAATTTTCAACTAACTACAATGAAGTGCTGCGGTTTTGTCACTTATTATGTTTTTAATGCATTTTATTAACTTAGTACTGAGTGACATTTTGTTTTGATGTTTGACGTATCTGTGGTGTCGTGGTGCTGTCAAAGACCGTTGCGAAGCTTTATACTCATAGTAAAATAATTTACGCATGTATCATATAAATGTGAATTTTAAAATTGCGAATTTAGCTAGTGAAGCTACGATTGACTTGACCACTTATGATATGAGAAACCACCGGTGTTTTACAACAAGTTAGCTTTTATATCAAACACCCGTGCAATTTATTTCCTCCTGCACTCTTTCACAAACCAATTTGATCGTACTACTCAGTGTCCGGGCGCTCGCCTTTAATCCAATATACTCGAGCAACCTGAGTTGGATCCCCGGGTCAGATGCAAGAATGGTTCGCGAAGTACCCAGAAGCTGGGGCCGGTGAGTCGGCGCGAAGGCGCGCTTTGGAGACCGTGCAGAACAACATCCGATGGGCCACCACCCAAAAGCCGGCCGTCGCCGCTTGGCTTAAAGCAAGCGGCATCTAGTACGCGATTAGAATATGCGGGAGTTGTATATTACCGTGATTAATACAAATAATTTATATAATTGAAAATCTGTTGTAAATAAAAAAATGTAATAAAGAATTTATTTGTCGTCCATTGTTAGATTTTTTCCTTGATTCGATTTAAATTGTCTAAAATAAACGACAATTTAACCAGGAGTGACTAATTAAGGTTCGGCTGTTGCACGAACGGGCAGGCCCGTCCACCACGACCTCACAGAAGACCAGCGTAAAGTGGAAGTATGACGAATACTTTCGCGTTTCGTCTGGTGAGTGAGGTGGCCGGAGCCCAATTTTCAAAAGGTTGTCAACGCATCTGTAGCCCTTGGGTGTAGCAGATGTCCATGGGCGGCGGTATTCACTTAATATCAGGTGACCCGTCTGCTCGTTTGGCAACTTTTCGCATAAGAAAAAGGAACAAAATTTTTTTTTCGTAATAAGAAACTAGTCACATTTATTCAAAAGGTGTGCTATATCGCTATATATATATATACTCAGCAGAAACATTGGAGTATCTAGTGTGACTGCTGTCCGCTTCTGGTGGTAAAAGCAGATTCAATACACTTGCCTTGAGGACAGCTTATATTTTTTGTGAAGACGTATAACGTTGTATTCGTATGTATATTTGTTCCATTTCTTCGCTGAACATAATAAATGACAAAGCGAAACGCTTCATCTATCAAAGGAGATTCCCACATTATTTTATTAGTACTAAATTAGTTGTTAAAATAAAGAGAAAAGAGCGAGGGCCTTACACGCTTTATTATAAATTAACTGACGACGAAGTGGCTAACAAACAATCGTTTTTTCGTCTACTCGCCTCCTCTACTCTCCGGCCGGCCATTCTCCTACTTCCGCTTACAATTTCAATTCAGATCAGTGGCAGTTACTCTTTTTGTGTCTATATGTCACTAGCTAGCCAATGAGTTTGAGTAAAACTTTTTTCACCACTTTGTTGAAACCGGAAGAGGGTATCAAGCATAATATTGTTTTATCCTCTAATAAAAATATCAGGTTAAATTTGCAGGAACAAGTTTATTTGTGATTTATTAACTTAGACAACATATGAAATACACATTTAGGCATTATTAAATAAAGACAGTAAGCAAACACATTTTAATTGGGCAGACAATACTTTGCCTCCTAACCGGACTTTCGTTGAAGGACCGCGTAGTAACTGTATGCTGCACGTACTATCTGTAAAAAGAGAGAAGACGTATTTTAATATTTTCTTAAATCGTGAAGTCAGTTCATAAATAGTGAGTTACTGTAAATTTGGGGTAAATTTATTAATAACAAACCGGATCCGGTCAGTTTTATGGTAGGCTTTACATACTTACATATGTATCACAACTGTAATTGAATCTTAGTCTCTAGCTCTTATCGATTCTATATCGTGCTTTAAATGTACCTACGGAACCCTTCTTGCGCTAGTCCGACTCGCACTTGGCTAATTTTTTTTATCTTTATATAAACTTGCAATCATCATTTTACAGACCATAAATTAAATTAAAACTGTATTATATAGCATTTTATCGCACAAATCTTCAATGTGGTTCTTTAAGTTGATATGACTATTTTATTTGTGAAACGATTTAAATAAAACTAACACTAAATGTTAAGTGAAGCTTACTACAATGCATTAGTGAAAGTTGCACCCAATCGGTTAAGCCGAATCTGAGATTAGCGCGTACAAACGCACAGACAAATAGATAAACAGACTAAAATTTTAATAATTATTGTTTTTAGTTCTGCTATGTTGATAAAGGCCCCCAATTATAGTTTTTTCTTAAATATCTTCCATGTACAGTCAACATTGAGATATGTATAGGTACTTCCCTAGTCAGATGTAGAATATTAATAAATGACGACAAGCCTTAATTTGAGTTTTCTAACAGCATCGTAACTTATAAGTAACACTGGTAAAAGCCTTGGCGTATTCTACAAGTATTAATGCTTTTTCTTTTCATCTAAAACGGTAACCGGAGACTTTCATACAAAACATACGGCAACGAACGCTGGAATCCTTGTTTTTTTTTTTTTTTTAATTTACTGCCACTATACCTGTATGAAAGTCGGCAAATTTAGCGAGAAGAAAGGTCCAGCATATAACTGGTAACATCGCGACATTCCCATCATGAGCAGTAGCAACTCTTTCCTGATGCGCGGACTGAGACACCACCATTCAGCGCCTTGAGGTCCTCTGCCCATGCCAGCTGCACTCTAAAACACCTCGTAGCGGTTTCTTATATCATAGTGAAAGCATTAAGCTCAATAGCGACGGTCCTTAATGCGACCGTGACAAGTACTATATTTTTGTTAACAAAAAACAAAACCGATTATAAAACCGCAAATATCTCGATAAACATTTTCTATTTGATTTTAGGTCTGGTGTCTCCGGAGTCAAAGGTCCAATGTAAATGAATTTTCTAAATCGGTTCATAGATGACAGAGTTATATAACCGAATTAAGATCCTCCTTCGTTATTGAAGCCCGTTGAAAAGTTACAACCTTATTTTTATTTGGGAACTTTTTGTTTTTGTTAAATTTTTGGTTTTATTGTGTTAATAATCACTCTAAGTAAATTTTAATGTGAAATTCTGCCTTCTTCCAAGCGTGGCTAATATTAATTGAGGAGCGTCGGAACAATAATCGATATGTTTGTGACATATCGATTATTGTTATTTTTTTTCGGGAAATTAAAAAATAATACATATGTCCACAGATTTCTAATTTAGAGATGGACAAAATTACTTGTATATAGGGTTTTTGATCGAACTGACGGATATAACATCATATTTTTTTAGATGTATTTGTTTTAAATTTCGCATTTCTAGTTTTTTATAAAAGTTTCTAGGATTTTTGATATTCTTTAAACTCCAATCTTGACCCAGTTACAAAACTTCCCCATGTGTCTTATAAATCTTTGGATATGGATTTGTCGGTTTTCAACGAACCAAATGCGTGGCCCTTGAAATTTTCCAAGGATTTGTCGTTGTATGTTCCAATCATGAAACCATTCGATTTATTTATCGGTTTTTGTTCCGACGCTCTTCCACTATTAACTTCATCTTAATGCACAATGCTGAAATGACACTAAGGAGTGATTAAAAAAAGATGACAAGACTAAACAGATTTTCTTATGATTAAACTTTGTTCTTTGTAAATATTATCGTTGTGCGCGTACTTGTTAATTAGAAAAAAAAATAATTTATGAGTTTGTATGACGTCCACCATTTAAATTTTACTATGAAAAATATTAAAATTATATTAAACAACTAGTTACGTAATGAACACTAATGTTACAACGCCAGCTTTAAACGTTTAGATTAACGTTCACATGCAAATTAGATGTTAACAATTACAGCTACAGAATATTTATGATGAAACATTTATGATCTAACAACTTAAATGGTATTTAAATTGTTACCTCGTTCAAAACAGCATCGCCGTAGTTACAAAATAGGAAAAGTTGCGTTAAAGTTGCTCCTAGGTACTGGAGAAGAGATATCAATTGAGTAGTGCTCAAATTCTGGAATACAAAGGTTCTGTCTTTATTGTAAACGTTTAGATTACTATTTTTTAATATAAAATAGGAAACAAAAGAACCAGCGGCAAAACTTTCATAAAAATCCTTATCCTTACTAATATTATAAAGGCGAAAGTTTGTTGGATGTTTGTTACTCTTTCACGCAAATACTACTGAATGGATTTTAATGAAACTACAATAATATAGTTTATACATCAGAATAAGATATAGGCTATAATTTACATACATATTTTATGTATATCTGTCTTTCTGTCTAAATGAGTTGATGACACCTTCAGCCTATTTTACGCAGACGTAGTGGCAGGCTACTTAACTATATTAATACACTTTTTCAGGTAATCCCCATTAAATTACATCTTGTATTAACTGATGTTAAAGCTTTCAGTCCCGAGACTATTAAAGCTTCATTGAACGTAGAACCGGTGGGCTAGTCAGAACCCATGGGCTGGAGGCCCTCCTCAGTGGGTAGGGCCGCGCATGTGATCATGCGTGCGTTAGTTAAGGAGTGTCGCCTACGGGCTATCGAGGTTCGGTGCGGACCGTGACCCCGATAGCCGTTGACTGTGCTTGGGAGTCGTTTGCTAGGGGCGGTGACAACGGCCCCCTGGAACGCGAGTGTACCTAGTGTACTCGTTGTGTTGGTTTCGCCGTGCTAGAAGGCGAGGGCGTACTATGGTGTTTGCTGTTGCACTAACTGTGTGTGTAGTGTTATCTGGCGGGTAAATACATATAATTGTGCATGAATGGGGCGGCTAAATGTAGGACACACAAGGCTACCGCCATAAGAGAGTGGTGTAAATATGAATACGTGTTAGCAGGAATATTGTAAGCCTCTCGTCAGTCTAACAGTATTCCTGCACTACCTCAGATGATGCTGGTATCCAAGGCTGGTCACTTACAATTAGATGAGGGTTCCGTTAACCGTAAAAGTTTAGCGACTCGTTGCTACCGTAGAATAAAATTAAAGTTTTTGTGTGCACAGAAAACTAGCGCGTTGATGGTTCTTACGCTAATGAAATATGCATATACATTTTATATGATCCGATAAATCTTAGGTTATTTGTACATACAAACTTGTGTATAAGAATAAGTAGGTATAAAAATAAGTGTAAAAAGAGCGTATTAAAATACGTTTTCAATCATTCAATTACCGACTTCAGCTGAACTGCAACTGAGCACAACGTAATAGTAGCCACAAAAAAGTAAACTCCCAAAATATTTCTTGTCAGCTTGTTAAGCTGTTCTATTAGACTGTAAGCAGAAAATTATTAATAGCATACACGTTAATTTATTAAACAATAATCCTTAGTTTATAAGATGAAAGTTTTTTAAAAGATTCCCAGCCTCCTAGTGGGTTATTATTTTTCCGAATAATTGCTCCCATGAATAATTGTTTGTATAATTATTCATTCATAAGCGATAGCGCAACGCCAATACGTCTCGGGCTAGGTCCCCATATCGATTGCGATCCAAGCCGAAGTTCGAACCTCCATCCGAGGGGCCCTTGGATCGTTTTGCCCCCCTTTCGTTAGCAGGGTGTTGCGGAGTGCAGCGGAGCGGACGGCGTCTTCTTCTCGTCGTCGTGCACCAGCTACGTTGTTCTCCCGAGTCCGTGGGTCGTCTGTCCGCGGACCTCTTCTGCCGAAGCTGTCAAAGCCGCCGAGCTAACAGCAAACTACACGTCACAAAAAAAATATTTTTCCGACTGAAACTATTTCGGTGACCGCCTCCTTAGACTGTGTCTGGTTTCGAGATCTATGTCACGCTCTGATGATCCTGAATGAGCACGATTCAAATCGCACGTGAGTCCTTCTTTAGCATATGTCCGTCTGTCCTCACTGCAAATGACTTTTGCACTAGCTAGTCTTGCAGTTAGAATAGTCACAAATGTAACCGGACACAACTAACTAGCAAATAGATTGCTTAGGTTATTACAGCCGTGATAGTTCATTGTCCGGGCCATACCAATAGAATTATTAATTACAATTTTAAGTGCTGTTGTAATACGTGGCTATGGACGAAGGAGGACAATGTGAACAAACCTGCATGCAAAATATTATTATTCTATATAATATTTTGCATGCAGTATAAATATTATACTTATTAAGTATAAATATTTCGAAGAGATATGAACTTTAGTATGCTGCAGTGGGGTTTCATTGTAGACTTTGTCTCTAGTACCCTCTATGCGATATATACAGGCTATAATTTTAATTTATTTTCGCATAAAATGTAACACGCATACTGTACTGCCATATGTTTTTACGGCTAAGAATGTGACCGGAAACAAGCGGCCTTCTTAGATATACATACTCCGTAAGCGCAACGTGCACACGATGGCAATTCCTGATCCTCAGACGGGCTCGCAATTCTCGAGCCTTGGACAAAACGCAGCTTTCGCCACTCCCGCCGATCCGCTCGCTTCTGGCGTGGAGCAAGGAAAACTGGCCGTGTACGAACATCATCAGGCCGACTGTCGACAAGTCGAAAGCTACGTGCACGCACACGCAGTACGTGGCCGAAATGGTCTCCAGCGAGACTGTGAAGATGTACCCGAACACGCTGATTTCGTCCAACGGTGCCCATAGCGGCAGTATGTGCGGGTAGCCGGCTACCTCCTGACCTTTGTACTGCCATAGACAGTATTCGATAAAGGGGGACATCATGAACACAATGGCAGTGAAGCTGTAGATCCTTCTGAGGAGCGCGTGAGTCGATTTGAACGATCTAGTGTACCGTTCAATATACGTGACGACGCTGAAATCGTCCTCGTCGTCCGATTCGTATTCGACTATGGGTGAGTTCTGCTCCTCACTTAGCTCCTCAACTTCTAGTTTAGCCGTGGCGTTCAGAAGCACGCGCCATTGTTCGCCGTCGCGGCGCAGCGAATAGAGTTTTATGACACCCATACCGCAAAAAGAGAGGACGCTGCAGCACTCGAACAGACGCTCCGGGTCGTCTTTCGCTAATGCCAAGGCAATTACTTGCATGGTTGTGGTGGTTAATAGTACTAGTGTCGCCACATCAGCCGCCCAATGCACACCGCCTTTTTTCAGATCCATAATCAAGCCGGCGTTTCTCAGCGAGTGCCAAATGAGGATCATCATATTCTTCTTAGGTACGTTAATAGATGTCATCAAACTGGCTCTATGGATCCGACATCTTAGCTATAAAATTATACAAAATTATATATAAAATAAATTGCAAGTAAACTCCAAGCTATTTAAAGGAACACTAAGTTTCTTGGCCATAACCATCCAGAACGAGTTCTGCGATCAGCTGAAGATCTAATTCTAGCACCACATGCGTACAAAACTAAATATTATAAGAACTCCTTTACAGTAAGGCCATCTGCTTGTGGAATGAACTTCCTCAGCAAATTCGTCGTTCGAACACGCTAGACAAGTTTAAAATTGACGTAAAACAACATTATCTATCGCTTTGTAATCCATAGTTTTTAATGGCAATATTCAGATTTAATTCTTCTCTCGTGTATTTATTTATATATATTATATATTTATTTATGTTAATAAAATAAATTGTGTATAATAAATATAATAATAAGTATAATAAATTTATACTTAATAAATAAATAAATTGTGAATAATATTTAACAAAATATGTCATGCGTTGTATTAACAACGGACGAATTTGGAATTATTATTACCTTGCGGATTTTCTCCATTGCAAAATATTTTTAAATGGACATAAATCAAAACGGCCTCAAGCGCTCAATCAGAGGAAAGTAAACAAAATGGCTGATATTCCAAAAGACTACAAACATTGACGTAATTAATTCATGCCCGTTGTAGCGGGTATTTGTCGTTTTCGGTTTTTCTTTTAAGTTACCATATTTATTCCGATTTGAAATCTAATGAATATACTTAGTAAAAAATACACATTTATAAAAAATACGGTTTTTTGTTCGGGTGAACGAAAATAAAATAGAAATGTAGCTAAGTATACAAATATACCAACAATCTATAACAAATGTGATCTTTATTTTGAAAAAAAAATGATAATTGCAATATATCGAATTGATACTATAATGGACATTTGTCTGTAGAATGATTTATATCTATATATAAAATTCTCGTGTCACGGTGTTTGTAATTAAACTCCTCCGAAACGGCTCGACCGATTTTCGTGAAATTTTGTGTGCATATCGGCCAGGGTGGAGAATCGGACAACATCTATTTTTCATCACCCTAAATGTTAAGGGTGGTCCATGCCAAACATTTTTTTCTACCCTACATATAAGTTATATGGCAAAACAACGTTTGCCGGGTCAGCTAGTTATTTATATACAGATAGTAATGGGGAAAAGGAAATAAATATGGGAAAATTTAATAAAAAACAAACTTATGAATAAAATATTTATCTCTGTAAAAATTTTACGTTTCTATAAATATAAATCTATTATATCTATCTATAGATATAAATATTTTAGTAGTTATTAGTGTTTTCAGTAACACAAAGCTGGAGTATTAGTGCAACTGTTTTCGCTACATTGAAAACATACTGTACTAAAGTATAAGCTTGTTTTGACATCCATAAGCAGCTCCACTTCTTTTTCACTGGAATGAACATGGTTCCATCCAAAATTTGCAATATTTACATCATTTCAATAGATGGAGTGAGAACCTGTGCTAATGTGTGGGACATCGATGGATGTAGGTGGCAAGATTATGCTTGGTAGCGGTTTGTGATGATGATGATTGTTATTGTCATTATTTCCTGGCGATAACTGGATTTGCATGATCACTGTTTTTCTGTGCTCAAACGCATCAGTTGTAGGAGGTAATGGTGACAAAAGATACAAGTATCTTTGACTGTCGCTTTTATGAAATACTCTAATCGCAAGGTAAGTATACCTACATATCTTTAATTTTTTTTCTTTTAATATTTTTTGTTGCATCATGCCTCGAGATATATTTAGAAAATTTTACGATAGTCATACACTAATGCAGTTAATTATAATAATATTTTTTGTGTCTAAAATGATTGCTGTATCTACAATTAATTTTTCGTCGTTATTTTCCTCCTGTGATGATAAAAAAATTGTTGTACTGGCAATATGTGTTATTGTCTGTATTCAGGTGTACATTTAGGCGAAATACAACATAGGTATACAAAAAATATATACAATAATGTGCTCTAACATTAACTTTTTATAGTTTTTGTTTATATAATTGCAAAGTCTAGAAAAAGAAAAATAGTTTTTGCAACTTATAGTGTAGAAAACGAAATCCTACCTATTATACCTACCATATAAATCTCGACAAATGACCTACATATGAATCTCGACTACCAAAAAATCAAAAGGCTATTAATATACGGTCTTATCTTAAATTAATATAATTTAAAATTCTTCTATTTAAATTCACCATTTTAATGTAATGTTAAACTAATTAGATAGAGGTAAAAATAAAAATATTTTTATTTTATTGGATCCACATTTGGTACTAAATACTGATAGTTAAGATTGAACATTTTTTTCCTAAAGAAATGTTTTCTTGTTTCTCCGCGACGCATTTGTTTTCTCTCATTAAGTGTATTACAATAATTCCCTAAGTTAAAAGTTTTTGTTACAAAACTTTGATTGAGTTTCGTAATTAAATGTGATTTAACAAAAACTTCCGAACCCTGTTAATTCATGGTTTACATATTCAAGTAGCTTGTTAGATACTTTTATTTCGAGATACCTATGATCCATAAAGTTTAATAAATGGCAATTAATTCGTTTTTGTGTATTATTTTTATTTAGATTAGTTTGACTGTGTCGCTATTATCGGCATAAAGTTGTTGGTAAAAATGACGCAGGTTGCAGTGTTTCACACCCAACCTTTTCCGTGTATCCGATAAACAAGACCACGCCACTGAAGAAAATTGCCTATTTAATTAATAACCCCTTGTGGTTTAGTTTTGTTTGCTGATTTGTCGCTTTGTTATGTCCATTTTATTGTCGTTAAGTACTACTACTTGATAAGAGTTTGTTTTTTTTGTTTTCTACTTAAGATTTATAATTGTTTTCACGTAACTCTTTGTCACGAAAGCTTTAGAAAAGATTAAGCAGAGTAATATTATAATAACGAAGGCACAAAAATACAGATAATAGAAAAAAAAACATTTAATCACATTTATTGTTAGTAATTTATATTTTATTTCATACCTAAGTCAAAATCAAATCCATTTAAATGACAATTTTGTTTCAATAAGTTGCAAACGAAAAAAATACCCTACGCCTTAGAAAACAAATTGGTAACTGCGTGCTACGTTATTGATACCTGATAAATATTTAAACATATTACCAGCCTGAGGAATAGCCATCAAAATTAGTAGACCTATAGTTTGGAGCGTCCCAAACAGAGTTCGAACCGAAGGATCTACTGGATCCCTGCCATCCACCGCTACCGCCGAAGCTCCGTTGACCTGATGCAAAGGAACTGCCCCATCCCGAAGAGCGACCCAAACTGCCGTAGCCACCAGGGGAGGATCTGGCACTAAAAGCGGCCCCACTGTCAAAGCCGTTGCCCTGCCATCCAGCACCACCTTAAAGCAATATCCAGAATATATTTCTCCACTATCTTTCACCAGACACTTCACCCGATTCTGTAGACATAATGCTCTTTTAGACATTATTTTGAATATAAATTCTGCATATAATTCATATCCAATTAAAAAGTTCAGTACAATCCGTTCATCCTTTGAGACGTGACTTACTAAAAATTCTTTCAAGAAGTCCGTTCAAAAACTTTACTTCCTCCATCTGGTTCATGATAATTTATTTTTTTCAAATGTTAAATATAATTTTCATCACTTACTAATTATATGCGAAAACTGGCAGACACTGGGTTTTTTTAAGATTCACGATCCACTAAATCTTATGGGACAGCACAGAGGGCTTAACAATTTAGGTTAAAATGGGTCCTGTTGCCGTGCTGTGGTTTCGAACCATTTCATTGATGTTTAATATTGATGACGCATACCCATACTGCACGGCGTTTAATAATATATTTCATTACGAGTGCGGAAAGCCTGTCATTGCAAGGAGTTCCGACAAGTGTCTACCCGAGCCGCGGCACAGTCGAAGGTGAGGGTTGATAGTCGGAACAAGTTGCAATGACGGTTCCGCACGGGTACCGAAGAACTATTTTTAATACAGTTGCGAAAAATTTAAGCGATTTAATGGAATAATAAAAACACAATAAACTCAACTAACTAATCATTTATCAAATATATAAAATTCTTGTGTCACGGTGTTTGAAATGTGAACTCCTTCGAAACGGCTCTACCGATTTTCGTGAAATTTTGTGTGCATATCGGATTATATAAAATCTAAAGGCTTAAGATTAAGACAGAAAGACAGATATACATAAAATATGTATATGAATTAAAGCCTCATTCTGATGTAAAAGCGTATGTTATTACATTAATTTTAATTACAATAGTTTCATTAAAATCCATTCAGTAGTATTTGCGTGAATGAGTAACAATCCATCCATACATACAAACTTTCGCCTTTATAATATTAGTAAGGATTGGATCCATTTATAGTTTTAGTAGCGCCTGTTGCGATACAGGATTAATTCCAGTTTTTTTTTTAAATCATGACGGGACAGTAATTTTTACTTGACTCTCTCTCTTCTCTGTATTTTGACGGAAAACACTTACCCGGGGATCGAAATTGCCGGCTTCCTTCCACAGCCATTATTGTCACGATAGCGAAAGCGAATATCGCTTTGAACTGAAAAAAGGTGTCGTGTAATATTATATAAATATAAGTTTTTTTTTAAAGTGGCAGGTTGTGGCGAGCGAAAAAAAATCCTTTTGTTTAGGTTTCTTAAATCCAGTACAAGCAATAAATGTAAGGTATATCGTTAAATGAACGTCACAAATTATAATATATCAAGATTGCGTGTATTTTACTCTAGCTTGGTAAAAAGGGCTAGAAGAAATATTTGACGAGACTTGTTTTTCCCTAAACATGTCAAGTAGTGAGCTTGTCGCTAAATATCAGGAAAAAACTCGGACGGCGGTTTTCGCAATAGATATCCGGGAAAACTGTAATTATGTTTACGCAAGGTATTAACGTTCGAAGTCGTAAATTAAAACTGAAAGTGTGATATGCTAGTAATTAGATCATGATTGCTCAAATAAATATGACTTGTTTGAACGTACTATTATCTAAAAACAAGAAAATAACAAACATATTATTCGTTATTAGTTACTACGTAATAAAGATACACATTGAACAAATATATCTTGTTTATTGAGTGTTAACTGTTAAAAACATAGTAAAGGTCTGAAACGGACCTTAGTTTACGCTGTCTCTAGAATAAGTGGTATAAAAATTGTCTGTACTTACCAGCATTTTGCCAAAGTCGGAATGCTCAGTTGTTAAGACACTGGTCTTCTTTATATACCTGCGAGTGACAGAATAGATCTTTTGATCTTGTATTTGATCAAGACCAGCCTAACAATGAGCCTCCTATAAGCACTTTCAAAGATTCACGAACAAGTCGTTAGTTGACGCCATTAAATGATCACGAAACGATTTTTTCTTATCCTATGACGGATGCTCTATTTTTTGCTTAGCGTCTTCTTATAGATTTAACTAAATACGCATGTAACTATTTTGATATGATCACAAACAGATACTTTTAAACGAAATGGAAATGCGAAAGGAATTGATTACGTCGTTAGTTTATATAAAATTTGGAATAGTAAGGAAATATATTTGTAAATTATCGCCCGCTTACCAAAACGTAGTAAATAGATATAAATTAAGTTATGAACATTTTATGGACAACGCCTGATAGGTTTTTTAGAGTATAAAATCTGTGTTAAACTATGCTATATTAAGAAAACCGAGGTATACGAGTAGGTTTTATTTTACTGTGATTTAATAGTAAGGACACGCTTTTTTATCGCTACTTTTTATATTCCCTCAATGTCCCTAAAAAGGTTATATTTACTTTTTTGGCCGAGGCTTTGATTTTTTTAATAGAGAATGTAGCAAACGAGCAGGTACTGGCTCCATGTGTTGCCATGTATTAAGAGGTTGTTTGAACCACGACATTTATTATGAGAACGTACTATATTCCGTTATTATAAGAAAGAAAACAGTTTCTGGTTATTCCGTAGATATACGCAAAAGATCCGAATATAGTTTTAAAAGTTACACTTATATTTTAGTTTTTCATGGTAAATTATATTGTTATGAGCACTTCACCCGCAACTTCGTCCGCGAAAATTGTAACAGCTAATTTGCATTACATGAAATAGCATTTTTTCCATTTTTTTGTATGCTGGAACGGATATAACAATGGATGCGCCAAGCATTGCTTCAAATGCTAAAAAATATTATAGCGCATGTTCGATGATTTGAACATATAGCTACTGAATAAAATGAACTAAATCTTCACAACGCCAAAAATCTCAACGATTTTAAACTACTTTGTTTTTCTATTTTATTTTAAATATATTGGCATATTCTGTGTTTAATGTTCAGAAAACGACCACATTTTCATGTAATATTTTACAGTGAAATCAATTAAAATTATAGATGGCATGCTATTAAATTTTACAGAATATTAACTTTAATAGTGCTTGCTACAAATGATAAATTTCATCTTTGGTGCAGAGAATAGTAGTATAAAATTAATATCCTATAAAATAATTCCTAAATCTATTATCCATAAAAGGTAATGAAAAAATTTTTACTGTCTGTTATAACGCCTGGTATAAAAAAATCTCATAGTTACCCAGTGTATTAAGGTCGAACATTGCTGAATTAGCACCGTAGCGGTAGCCTGCAAAGGCTATGTTAGCCTGGCACCTATTATAGGAGTATTTGAATTTTTTTTTACCGATTATTGTGGATTAATAAAATCTTAACGTACTGTTTTACTTTGCCGTCACCCAGTTTCGGACAATAGTTCAGTGTGTCCTTCTCAAATGACTAAATCATACATTTTCTCCTTGAACATGAGCTTTCATATTTATTAAAACGAAATTTGGACGAATCAAACGTCATCAAACGAATCATCTCATTACTCAGGTATATATTTTAAATTGAAAGGTACAAATATCGTTTACTATTGTTCACTGCCTAGATTTGAATTAAAGTTCGGCTTTTAGTATAATATAAAGAATTCATTTTTGTTAAACTTAACCATATCATAGATTTTATCACGATTAATTTTGCTTTTGATACCCGACTTTTCATATATTTTACAGGTCCTACGAAATAGGCTGAAGTTTCCTAACGCCAAAGTTAATATTTGTAATAATTTATATGGTCCGATTTACATTGTTTCCGTTATTAAAACAGCCATGAAAATCATATTGGAAGGAGTCTCATTTGAATTGCTTTTGGTTTTGACCAACACCACGTGGACCTGATTGTTTTCTAGGTCCTGATATCTTAAATTGGCACAAAGCTACACCAGTGATGGCTTTTTAAACAGATATTAATTGATAATTTCTTGTATTTACGCGATTAAACAATATTAAATTAAATATATTAACGGATTCATCGTCATGGGACACACCTTGAATGCTGTAAACGGTTTGAATCGTCGGGAAATAAAATAAAAATCAACGCGATAAATCCATAAATAAGGTTTAATTTAATAATATATTAAATTGCGTTACTTAGTCGAAACAGAAAAAATTGTTTACATAAATGTCTCTGGATTTCGACCCATCCGACCCGAGACGCCGTGGACAGACTTTGATCACCGAAACACGCATAAGTCATGTCGGTCAGTCTACAAACAAAACGATTCAATTATTTATTGAACCAGTAAAACCATATCAGGCTATAAACAAAAATGTAAATATTTTTCTATCTTACGGAGTTAATTATAAAATCTGCCATAGATTATTTTGTCGTAAGAATGGAATGTATCTATGTTCCTATAGATAAATTGTTTTAAATGTTGTATTTAAGCTCTGAACGTTAGCACGGCTGTCAACGTTGTGGTAAGGGATTGCTACCACTGTCTTAACGTTAAAGTATTTATATATTAATATCTCTATAAGTAAGTGCACCGGGAGATGCTGCGCTGCACCGTTTTATGTGAGACGGTGGCAAGCGAGCTGGCGATTCACCTGATGTTAAGTGATTACCATCACCTATTGAATTTTGCAACACCCGTAGGTTTGCAGGTGCGTTGCCACCTTTCAATAAAGTGGCCCATCTTAGCTTACCTGAGGAAACGCGGTAGTATAAGAGGTCCACTTCACGCGGGTCTTCTGTGAGGTCGTTTTCACTGTTGCACGAATGGGCAGGTCCGTCCGGGTAAGTACCACGACATCACAGAAGACCGGCGTAAAGTAGAAGTGTTACACTTCTGCGTTTCGTCTGGTGAGTGAGGTAGCCAGGGCCCACTTTATTTCAAGGTGGCAACGCATTTGGTGTTGGGTGTTGCAAATGTCCATGGGCGGCGGTTATAACTTGACATCAGGTGAACCGCCAGCTCGTTTGTCACATAAAAAAGCTATAATAAGCTGGAAAATCTTTTTAAGCGTATAACTTGCTTTAGAACGTCATTCATAAAATTGTTTTTGAAGCAAGCAAGTGTTTGTTTTTACTGAATCAGTTTAATCAATTACTCAAAATAACTTGCAATAACCTGATATTTGGGACCATGCATAAACAAGGTGGAAGTGATTGGAGCGTTATCTATTTACAGATAATATGAAAAAACACGAACACAAATTAATAATTTTAACATTAATATAATTGTATATACTCTCTAACATTGAATTAAATTAAATCGCAAATTTGCCACCGAATTTGTATTCGTATCTTAACGACAGGGAACAAAAAATAAATATATATGGTATATTGTTATCGGGGGTCCATAGTACAAATGGATGTTCCTCAGGGATGGATCCTGGCCTGATTTGTGACAAAATTCACTTTTCAACGCAACTCAGATAAAATGTGTCATATTGATGAGAAAATCCTTGATAATTCAGCAGAATTTCTTTGAATACGCATTGACAAGTTGCAATGGGGACTTCATGTAGATAAATTAGCTAAGGAGTTGTTGCCGTCTTTTTCATTAGCAATTTAAGGCAGCTAATAAACGAGGCAACAGTTAAATACGTTTATTATGCTGATTTTCACGGCATGTTTTACTTTGGGATTCTGCATCCGGTTATGATCCGCATCAGGTATTATATGCAAAAGCAGCTATACGGGCTGCCTATGGCTTGGGTCCATGTGACTTGCTGCATATATTTATTTATTACAAATAAACTTTTTATCGCTCCCTTCTCTATAAATATTCGAGAACATCATGTGTGTATTTACAGGTCCCCTGTCTGCTTCTAATTTTATACTTAAATATCTTAGTACTTTCTGTGTAGCTATTTAATTTAAAACAAGCATTTTTTGAATAAAGATTTTTTGACTTTGACTTTGTTTTAGATATACTAATATTACATATCACAACAACATCGGTCTTTAAGGTTCCTTACCCAAAGGGTAAAACGGATAACTTAGACACTGCTGTCTGTCAGTCCGTCAATCGCCAGGTATGTATCTCATGAACCGTTATAGTTCGACAGGTGGACTTTTCAAAGATGGCGAATTACTGTTGCTGCTATAACAAAAAAATACAAAAAATGTATAAAAATAATAAACATGACTATGAACAACATTGTCAATGAAGTTGAATGTAATTCAACTGTGGTAGGGCCACGCAGTAGCCTCGGCTGTTGCACTAATGGGCAGGCTCGTCCGGGTAAGTACCACGACCTTACAGAAGACCGGTGTAATGTAGAAGTATGACAAATACTTTTTTGACAAAAACAAATCTGTAACCCTCGGATGTCCATGGGCGGCGGTATTCACTTAACATCAGGTGAACGGCCGCTTGTCAACTTTTCACATAAAAAAAGGAATAATTTCATATAGTGATTGAAATAGATAATATAATATAATAGTTTTATATATTAACAAATTTAATTTAAGTAGACATGTTTGTGCAGTAAGTCCTCACGGTCGAAAACATGTACCGAAGTTCAGTTTTTTGTATTTTGTGTGGAAGGGGTTGGGTGGTAAGACCCAAGAAAGATATTAAAGTCTATAATAGATCTCCCTTTGAAAATATGGGCCCCTTACTGCAGGAAGACTTTATCCTGTGTTGTGGGGACATTTTAGATACATAAATTTCACGGGGACAAACAAACACCCAGATCCGAAACAACTATTTGTTGTTCATATAAATGGTTGTCTCGTGTGGGAATCGGGCCCATAAGCCCTGGCGACGAAGCCAATACCTTGGGAATTCACCCCTCAGAGTCATCATTAAGCAGTAGTAACTACTACAGGAGTCGCCAGGGCATTCGGACACA